TTAAATCTATTGCTTTTATGTGTTTAAATTTAGAAAAATATAAATAAAATTTATTACTTATGTATTTAATTTGCAGTTAATGTCGTAATTGACATATCATTTTATCAATATTTATTTTAAGATTTTTTAGCAAAAACCCTCTCCATGAAAGGTAAACGCCTCCAGAGAAGACCAGTGCTCTCTATTCTTTATAGCTCATGACTATGAGTACCTACTACTTTTATGATATCATCTTCCCAGCGTGCATTTGGTCTTCCTCTTCTTCTCTGTCCTAGTGAGTCCATAGTGTTGTCTCAATTGTCCATCGATTATCGCTTAGCCTCGCTATGTGTCCAGCCCATCGCTATTTAATCTTTTGCGAGTAATTGAGGCCGTCGGTGGCTTGAGTTTTCTGTCTTATACGAGTGTGGCGGATCTTTTGGATTTACTTTATTTTCAGAATGCTCCTCTCCATGCTCCTTTGGCTGGAAAAAAAATATTTTTGACTTATTTGGTAAAATTCCAAGTTTGGCGGGCCTATTTTAATGAGGGTAGTAGGTAGGTGTTCATGATTTTCGTTTTCATTCGTATGGTCTTTTTATTTTGGAGTATTTCTTTGAAAATCTAAAACTTTCCATGTGATGTTGACTCTTCTCTCTATTTCTTGTTCGTTGTTTTCTTGGTTAAATGAAATTTGCTTTCCCAGATAATTGAAGCATTTATGTTAGTGGTGAATTTGCCAAGTATATAGGCCTTTCCGTATGATTCGACATGACATTACTTTTTGTTTGGTTAATATAAAATCCCACTTTACGACTTTCTTCATATAGTACGTTTATCATTACTTATAGTTTTTTCGTATTTTCTGAGAGCTGGACTATGTGGTCCACAAATCTCAAATGACTCAAATAACGTTCTTTTATTTTTATGCCAACTTTTTCCCAGTTTAGTTTTCCAATGATGGTCTGTAACACAGCTATGAAGATATTTGGCGAGAGTGAGTCTCCCTACTTATTTGTATGGGTATTGGGTAGTCATGTTGTCTCTAGTTTCACTCTACTACTAATGATATCATAGATATTTTTTATGACTGTTATGTAGTCTATTGGTACTCCTTATGAGAGTAGAGTGTCCCATATTGATAAATGGATGAAGAGAGTCAAATGCTTTTTGGTGGTCGATAAAAGCGATATAGAGTGGTCTCTTAAACTCTTGGTATTTTTCTATCAGCATTTTTATGGAGTGTATGTGATCCACTGTTGAAAACCTAATTCTAAAACCGGCCTGTTCTATAGGTTGGTATTTTTCTGTAATTTCTTTTATTTTTTTCTCGATTATTGAGGAGAACAGTTTATATAGAAACGGTAATAGGCTTATATTAAAAACTAAGCATTATTATTAAATAAATATTAGCGATATTTTTGGTATTATAATTATTTTTTATTTCGATATTATTATTTTTTATTGTTCTTGGATATATAAACTCATGTATTCAATATTCAAATAATTGAGACGCAATATACAAGAATATCATAAATTGTGTCCATTTTAATTTAACAAATTAATATTATCAAAACATATATAGGTATATAATAGATAGCTTGCACTTTATATGGAACAATATAATTTATCGAAGCAACTTCCATACTATCAAACAATGAACTCCCAAGGGATGAATCGTCTAATAAAATATAAATTGTGTTACATCCCTATGCCTATCATGAAACTTAATCCATTAATCGTCAACATTAATACCGACAGTATTAAAGTTTTTCACGGGTCGGCGTAAAGCTCATACTATCTTGGTTTAGTTATGCTTTGTAGATTTCAACCATTAAGCAGTGAGTCCAAATTTAAACTACATATTTAGTTAGAGTTACTTTTTCATCTGTCATCCACTCATAACAAAAATACAAACTAATACAAACTTGCCGGGTTTAAGTCATAGACTTGCTTCAATTTCAAATTCATTACAAATTTTGTAATCATTGTGTTGAAACATAATGCATATTTTTCACATATTTTTGTCCTTTATATAGTTAACATATTGAAATAAATAATCAAAATATGTACATAGACAACGGAAATGCATTCGTTACTAATGATTGAAATGAACGTTTTGTAACTCATACATTGTCTCTGGAGAATTGAAACAGGCTCTATTATGATTTACATTTTGTCATTACATTGAGCTCCCTAGCGATTATTACAAAAATTATAGTCGTCCAATATTGTCTCATACACATTGAATAGGTACGTCTTTATGTTATTTATAAACGAACTGTCAAAGATTTTCGAGTGTATTATTAAATAGATGAATTAGAAGCTAGTTTAATGACAATAGTTAAATTTAACCACACAGGTGGCCATACAATCACAGACTATATAACTCAAGCTTCTGATGAGGGCATGAGTAGTATCCTTGTATTGCTGGACTACTCTAGTGCATTCGATTGTCTGCATCCAGAGCTACTCTTGTCAAAATTAAAACAATACGACTTTTCAAACAACACCTGCCAATGGTTCAAAACATTTTTAACAAACAGACATCAAATAGTGACTACGGAAAATGCTGATGGTTCTAAGACGTTCTCAACTAAGAGATTAATGCCGCGTGGTGCGCCCCAGGGCTCCTTGGTAAGTCCAACACTCTTTGCCATCTTTACAGCGGACTTAACCCATCAAATTAAACACTGCAAATATCACCTTTATGCAGATGATACCCAAATATTATATTACTCTTTCGACTGCAAAAACGTTAAAACCATACTGGAAGCTGTTTCTAGAATTAACAGTGACCTCCACAGTATCAACACCTGGTCTCAAAATAACGCATTGGTCTTGAACCCTCAAAAATCATCAATGTTAATATTAGGTACAAAAAAGCAAATAAAACGTGCAGGACGCGGAGATCAAGCTCAAAATAAACAACGTTGAAATCCAACAGAATTCCTCTGTACGTAATCTTGGACTAATTTTGGATACGGAGCAAAAATTTACAGAACACGTAAATAATAAAGTTAGGACGGCTTTCATGAAGTTGAAGACTTTGTACAAAATAAGGCCATTCATCAAGGAAGACGTTCGGTTGCTACTGTGCGAATCTCTTGTTCTCTCACAACTGAGCTACTGCAGTACAGTGTATGGACCAAGACTAAATACTAAGGCCGAAAGATGCATCAACGGGTTCAAAATGCCTGTATCCGTTTTTATTATAGCGTCCCAAAGAGGGAACACATTACTCGGTACCTTAATTTTAAGGGAATTCTTAACATGACTTCAAGAAGAGAACTCCATTATGCCTGCACAGTTCACAGAATTGTATGGAACAAAAAACCAGAATACCTGTTCGAAAAATTGACCTGGCTTGACGTGCATTGCTTAAGAAGCCGTCGCTTTGGCGTCCAAAACTTACTCGAAATTCAAAATCATAAATCGGCAAGGTATAGAAGCTGTTTTAAGTTTTCTGCAGCAAAAATATGGAGTGATCTACCTGCACCACTTAGAACAAAGTGTAATACAGAGTCTTTTAAAGGCAAATATAAAACCACCTTGCTTAAAAAACAACATTCTGCAGAAAATGTTAGACACGCATACTACAAATGCCTGCCACTAAAAGAATTTTGGCAATATTGAGATTACCACCTTACTTCTCCAATCACACACAAATACACATGCACACATATACTCAGACATACATTCACATACACACAAACACACACACACTCATGCAAGAGTACATGTACATACTTTAGCATTTTCTATTGATAAACTTTATTTCTGTTTGGATTAAATTTATTTCTTTTTTTATAAGTTTGCTATCATCATTCATTTGTAATTGCTTATTTTCAAACGTTTGTTAATTATAATTATAATAATAGTGGCGGGCAGCGGCGGCTGTACCTTAAGTGCACTCGTGCGCTGAACCACCAATTCAAAAGATTTAAAAATTACAAAATAATACTTTATATTTTTTTTTAATTACCATTTTAATATTTATTTTCTAAACATACAAAAACATATAAAAAATTAAATTTCTAATTATAGTCAAAAAGTTTGTGTGCTTTACTAAACTAATATCTCGTGCGCTTCGGCGAGTGCACGAGGACGGCTAATACATCTTGTATGAGATACGCATTAATACGCCTGACGCGTGAAACAAAAGATAGTTCATAGAAATGTACCGAGTAATGAGTCGGTTCTCGAGCGCCGCACGAGCGGCCGAAGATTACCGAGAGCACCCGATGTATGACGAATTGGAATTGAAAAGAATCAAAACTTTTCTCCGAAATACCATGCACTTGCTAAATGTACTTTCTATGCTAAGTATTGAAAAAAATAATTATACAAACAATACCCGATTTTAATAAAAAGGTGATTGAACATTTCGCTTCAGAAAAATGTCGTCGCATTGATTTAATGTTTAAAAAATAAACATATTTTATGTCAATTGGTTTTTTGTTGCATTTTCTAATTTTAATATTTTATTAAAGTGCACCACCAGTTTGATAACCCACCAGCCGCCACTGGTGGCGGGGGTAGAATAATGTTACTAATATTTTAAGTATTTGTTAAAGGGACTGACTGAAAACCAGCGTTTCCCAGGGCTACGGTCCTGAAAAACATGTAGCTGAGACAACTCCCATTGTCTGCGTAAGCATATTATGTATTATGTTTTCTTTATTCTATCCCTATGTATTTCAATGGTTACTATGTTTCTGACAATAAACGGATTTTATCTATAACATGTTTATTTAAAAATAAACTTCTTTATACATAGGGGTTGTAGGTTATGAAGGTTAACTCATCATATTAATATATTGTTATCGAGGTAACGTATTAGGCAATCGCTATTTTTGTTTTATCTGTAGAACAATTGAAATTACCAATACTATTTCTTGTCTGTGCTTACATAGTATCTGTCAATGTCAGAATCTGATTTCAGATTATCATTTTGTTAGCGTTAGAAGAAATTGGATTATTTGTTCACAATTAAATAGACCAAATAAGAAAATATAAATATGGATTCTATGAGAGAGAAGGCTTTTCAAGATTATAGAAAGAAGTTAATGGAACACAAAGAAGTTGAATCAAGGCTTAAAGATAGTAAGTATTGTTGTATAGCATAATTATGCCGAATCATCGTAATCACTATATTTTAAAATTGAACTTCCAAATTATTTTTTCAATAAAAATATGTTCTAGTTTCTATTTTAGAGTATTCTTTAACCGAATTATACTTAATTCATTTCAATTTTATTGATTGCCAAGGTAAACGAAAGTAATGAACGATTGAATATTTCAGTGCGCGAACAGTTAAAAGACCTCACCAAACAGTACGACAAAAGTGAGAATGATCTTAAAGCGCTGCAAAGTGTTGGCCAGATAGTTGGAGAAGTTCTGAAGCAGCTCACTGAGGAGAAATGTACGTTAATATTATTACAAAAACAATAACAAACTAAACAATAAAATCTTCCTTTAGATTTGATCTACAGCTAAACTTATTCAAGTGACTACTGTTTTGCATATCATTTTATCCTTTGTTTTGTCAAAACTAGACAACCTGTACATTATATATGTAACTACTATATATAGCAATAATTAGACGTTTAAGACATTTAATTTCCTTTTCCAGTCATTGTAAAAGCTACAAATGGTCCACGTTATGTGGTCGGTTGTCGTCGTCAGCTCGACAAGAACAGGTTGAAAGGTGGAACCCGAGTTGCTTTGGATATGACAACACTTACTATCATGAGACATCTGCCAAGAGAGGTATGTATTTGGTCTTTTTGTTTTCATTAAATGCCACCATACAAGCATAATCTATAGAAGTTTAGTGTTAAAGAACATAATATTACATAGTAGATTCTCAATCTTGATATGTCTCATTGTGACAATAAGTATCTTTTTTAGTAATGACAATATTTGCATATTTTTTAAAAATATACATATGTATTCTATATCAGAATATAACTAATAAAATATAATAGTAATCATCCTATCAGAGCCCACAGCTGAGCAAAGGCCTCTTTCACACATGGAGAAGGTTTGATCATTAATCACCACACTTGCTCAAGGCGAGTTGATGATTTCAAACTTATAATTGTGAAACTATAAGTCCATATCTCCTCACAATGTTTTTCCTTCACCGTATGTCAGTGATGTCTAAATACTTGCAGAAAGTACATATGACTCCGAAAAATCACATTGGTACTTGCCAGGTTTGAACCCGCGCCCTCGGCAACGGTAGGCCGGCCCTTTAACCACTAGGCCAACACTGATTAATAACATATAATAATATTATATATTATTTAATTTCCAGGTTGATCCTTTAGTATACAACATGAGCCACGAGGACCCCGGTGATGTGACTTACTCGGCTATCGGTGGACTTCAAGAACAGATACGACAGTTGAGAGAGGTTAGATAGAAAATAAATCTGAAAAAACAAACAAAACTAGAAAAAACCCTTAATGGCTTTTAATAGTATTACTGTTACTTCAGCTTTGTCATTTCATGTATATATGAGCGTTTCGATTAACAAGTGTCCAAGAAAACTGTTTGTGTTACTTTAAATATAAAAGTATATTTTTCCATTAAAAAGTTTTCATTCATAAAGATCTATAAGAAAATTCAACATGTTATTGTTTGGCATGTGTATCCTTTTATGTTTATAATTACTCAAACATATTAAATAAAGTTTATGTGTAAAGAAATGATAAATATTACTGACAAATTAAATTACTTGATAGTAAAAATGCAAAATTAAATTATTTGATAGCAAAAATGAATTGCCTGATTTGGAATTGAAGTAGTATTATAAGAAAAGACAATTGTATCATACATATAAAGTTTCTTTGGTTTTACTCAATTTGGTAATTATATTATGATGTTTTCAGGTTATCGAGTTACCTCTAATGAATCCTGAGCTGTTTGTTCGTGTTGGCATCACACCTCCCAAGGGCTGTCTCCTATATGGACCTCCGGGCACTGGAAAGACATTACTGGCTAGGGCTGTAGCTTCACAACTTGATGCTAACTTCCTTAAGGTAATATACATATAAATAAACTAGCTAACACGGCAAACATTGTTTTGCCCTATAAAAAATAGGGGTAGGTGATAAAAAAGTAAAAATTTTGTTGGACAAAAAAATAATTAAGGATGAACAACCGTTATGACTAAGGGGTATGAAAAATAGATGTTGGCCGATTCTCAGACCTACTCAATATACTCACAAAATTTCATCAAAATCGGTCCAGCCGTTTCGGAGGAGTTCTCTGTCTAACACCGCGACACGAGAATTTTATATATAAGAATATAAAGTATAAAACTTACATTCTGTGGTACTCAATAAAACTATATTAAATTCATCATGTATGTATATTGTATATAGCAAGACTGAATGACAAAGTAATATAATAATTTACCTACATTACACTTGATATCATATTATTTAACAATACCGAGCAAGTATAATTATTACATAACATATTAATATCTAAAATAAACATAGAAAGCTAAGTAACAGTCACTTTACTAAATAAGCTTATATTATTATGTATTTTTTATACAATTGTATTTACTCAAATTTCAATACACTTTTTCTCAACATTGCTTTCATAAAAGAGAGTAACTATTAAGTAAATTCTTTTCAGGTGGTGTCTTCAGCTATTGTTGATAAATATATTGGTGAATCAGCTCGTCTTATCCGTGAGATGTTCAACTATGCTCGTGATCATCAACCGTGTATTATATTCATGGATGAAATTGATGCTATTGGTATAACATTTATTAATAATAGTTTAAGTTTTATAAACATGTATACAGGGTGACTGGTGAATTACTATCAATATTTAAGGAGAATACTCGGTACATGATTCTCATTCGAATTATGTAAAAAAATAGGTTACTTTATTTTTGACCAAATTTCCGTATAAATAAATAAAGTGTGGACACGTTCCCAGCCTTGCCGGCGGCGCGTGCGGCGCTATCCCCAACCCCCGCCCCGTGGCTAATTAGTCGGGCGAGCGCCGCCGTAAGGTCTGTACGTCCGTCCTCCCGCGCGCGCGCCTAGCGATCGATCTTACGCGTATACCTAATCTGTCGTGTGTGCGTGTGACCCGTTATTACTTATTAGTAATTAAGTATGGCTTATCAATACACAAATGTGTATCACACGAGAAGGAGCTCACTTGCTACCTACCTACCTACCTACATAACTGTTTTGTGTCGATAACGCAGCTAGGGTGTCCACACGATGCGTAATTAATTACATAACTTTTGGTTAACTTTACTTAGAAGTTTATTAATATTTATGTTATATTAATTTTTATTTTGTCGTATATGATTTATTTATTTATTTATAAACAGATACTCCATCGGCTTATCATAATAGCTAACACAAGAATTACATGCACCAAGTATGAATCAGTATGATCAGCCCTTATAGGTGTATACAACATTGTTTTTTTTAAATTTTATTTTTTTTTATTTTTACTAAGATACAGACTAAGGTATAAAACTAAGATAAGCAAAGCAAAATATGAACTAGGCTAAAACAAAGTTAAAAACTAAGAACCAAAACTGGTAACAATATCAATCTACTTAATCTAGTTACGATAGGGAAGTAGAGTGCTATAAGTAACTGTCAACAATTACTACCATCGTTCCACATCGTAAATAGCATCCAAACACTTCCCAACAAATTGATCGTCAAATATCACATCTCAAGTATCGATAGTAATTCACCAGTCACCCTGTATATATTTTGATTATTATATGTATTATATATGTTCTTCTACAATCTAAAGGTTAATAGTTCGATTTAGCCCAAAAATATATACTAACAATTGGAATTGAAATACAAATTATAGAATGAAATGTTAGGACCTAGTAGCTTAAATCCCAAAGCAATTTTAATGTAACATTTTCGAGGTTCAAATATGGTTATATAAACTTAATTGCACTATCAATCTTGATATTGCTATACAACTGTATTAAAATTTAAGTATTTAAAGATCTAAGGTTTTCGTGAGCATCCATTGAAATAAAACTAATATTTTTCAGAGTTACTATTTATAATTATATTTAAGAAATTCTATCTATGTTTCGGTTACTTTACATCAACCGTGGTCACAGACAGACGAGGTGTTCATCCCTACTAATATTATAAATGCGAAAGTAACTCTGTCTGTCTGTCTGTTTGTCTGTTACGCTTTCACGCCTAAACCACTGCACTGATTTTAATGAAATTTGGTACAGAGATAGAGTTGACCTCGAGAAAGAACATAGGATAGTTTTTATCAAAGACTTTTGAAAGGTTCTCTTGGAAACGCGATATAACCGAACTCCACGCGGGCTAATTCATCATTCTTTATTATAGTATATACTAGCTTCTGCTTTCCGTTTAAGCTTTCGCCCGCGTGGAGTTCGGTTATATCGCGTTTCCAAGAGAACCTTTCAAGAGTCTGGGATAAAAACTATCCTATGTTCTTTCTCACGTTCAACTCTGTCTGTACCAAATTTTATTAAAATCAGTTCAGTGGTTAGGCGTGAAAGCGTAACAGACAGACAGACAGACAGAGTTACTTTCGCATTTATAGTATTAGAAGCGATGTTTGTAATTATTTTTAAAAACATACTCCCGACGTTTCGGTTACTTTACATCAACCGTGATCACGGACATACGATATATACATTACATATGAATATTGTACAAAATTCTAATGTATATAATTGAATGTTTCAGGTGGCAGACGTTTCTCTGAAGGCACGAGCGCTGATAGAGAGATACAAAGAACTCTGATGGAGCTCCTCAACCAAATGGACGGCTTTGATTCATTGGGTCAAGTTAAGATCATTATGGCTACCAACCGACCGGACACATTGGACCCCGCGTTACTGAGACCCGGTAGACTCGATAGGAAGATTGAGATACCGCTACCGAATGAACAGGCTCGGTGAGTTAACATTACTAATATAAAGAAATCAAACCTCTCAGCATTCAATCTATTCATATGCGTGTGTCGGGTCCATCGTTGTAGAGAGGAGCTTCAACAGTGACTGGGACTTGTGACCCAGGTGTAGGTTTAAGGGTCCCTATCTAACGCGTTAAACGATCACCTCCATTGTCCAAGCTCCTCTCTCTACTAACTAAATATGAAAAGAACCTATTTTATTAATAGTATTACACGAATTCATATATCCACACACAATGATGTATAACATTCTTGCAAGTTTTGTAGATGAAAACAGTTGCTAATTAGAATGTGTCAATGTATTGCAAATCCATAGTAATCAGCGTCTTGTATATCTTGATATTTATGTTACATGTGAATGTATAGTGCATTTTAGCTGTGGGAAGTGTAAAAGTTAAAACAGGAAGGTCAAGTTTGACTGGATTTTGATGCTGAAAATGTAGTATGGGAAATATAGTGCTTAATATAATGGTTTCAATAGAAATATAATGTGAATATTATAATTGATAACTATTACTTGACTATTATTATACAATCATATTTGTATAAGATATTGCAAATATTAAAACTTAATATATGTCTTAAAATTTCAGCTAATAAACCTAAAGGGTATTAAATATAATAAAGTTACTCAAAAATACCTACAATATTTTAAACAGAGATGAAATAAAACAATATAACACATGGATCAATAAGTCTCGAGACTAACAATGAAAACAACATTTTTTTTGCATATTTTTTTTTTTCATCAACATAATCTCCTTTTAGGGTGATACAATCCTTCCAATGATTTCCAATTTTTCAATATCATGTTTATAAAAAAAAAAATAACTTTTGCTTCAAAATAAGCTTCAGTTTCAGCGATGACCTGGTTACTGGTTTACTACAGGCGCCATCTCTGGGCTAGTCTCGGGACTTATTGATCCATATTATATGCTATTTGGAAACTTGATCTGCAAAATTCCAACATTATACAAATATATATGAGATATACTATCATGATTTGGATGACACAATCAATTAAAATATTGATGAGTTTCTCTGTAATAAAAGATTTTATTGTTAGGTCTAATAAGGTTACAATCTGTTTTGGGTTCATAATAAAATATTTACAAGACTAACTTGTAAGAAAAGAAACTACGTTTAAAGCTATTAATTTACAATGTTGATTCCAATATCACAATTAAAATAAATATAATCTATTTTACAAGTTGTCTTCTTGACTACAGTTTCATTTTATGGTGTTAGTTACACCATTTATAAGTCAAAAATTACTAAACGATAATAAAATAAAACTAAGAAACGATATGGTTGTAAATTTGATCAGGAGATAGTTTAGAACTTAGAAACAGACATAGGATATTTAACTCTGTTCAATTGAAAAAGACAAAAATTCTTAACAATAATTGTTGATAACAATATTTGTTGTTTGTCTATTACCCTAAGAAAATTGTATTTATCTATATATATATATATTAATTATTATCTTTCCTCAGACTAGAAATCCTAAAGATCCATGCTTCACCAATCGCTAAGCACGGTGAAATGGACTATGAAGCGGTTGTAAAACTATCAGATGCATTCAACGGAGCTGATCTGAGGAATGTTTGTACCGAGGCTGGACTATTTGCTATACGGGCTGAGAGGGAATATATTATACAGGTGACTTAAAGACATTAAACCGACTTAGAATATTGGAGGTTCTGTATAAGATTTTTTGTATACATGGACCATTTATATAGAATGTAGTTTTGGGATTCTTGATACAAGAATACTTTAAATTTTTTGATTTTGATCTAAGTATTTAAACAATTTAAATGCTGTTATACTATAACATATTCAAAGTAAGTTTTTGAAATGGATTGCAAAGTAAGTAAATTATCTTATTTCAATCTTATTTATGTATGTTTACTTAAATTTCCAGAAGTTGGTCACATTAATTACATTTATTTGATTAAACTAAATTAACTAATGTACAAATAATTAACATAGTTATGTTTTTATTTGAATGACTTCAAACAGATAGAAATTGAATTTTATTATGAATTTATTATAGATGCAATCAGTTTCAATTATGGAAGAAAAAATATTATTTTTATTGAGATTTTTAGGTAATTTTTAAGTAAAAGAAATTTAATTAATTATTAATATATATTTTCAGGAGGATCTCATGAAAGCAGTTCGCAAGGTCGCTGACAACAAGAAACTGGAAAGCAAGCTTGATTACAAGCCCGTTTAATGTATTTTATTATATTATTATATATTAATAAATATAATATAACCGTGTCTATGTTGTCATTGCTTGAATTAAATCTGATCTTTATAATTAATGTTTAGGTTTTATTCATTGTTCCACATTATTTATAGCTTTAACCTCTTTGGAATGATAGTTCACAGTAAGCTTCAATTTCCCAAATATAAATATACTAGCTTTCCGCCCGCAGCTTCGCCGCGTGGAGTTCGGTTATATCGCGTTTCCAAGAGAACCTTTCAAAAGTCTGGGATAAAAACTATCCTATGTTCTTTCTCAAGGTCAACTCTATCTCTGTACCGAATTTCATTAAAATCAGTTCAGTGGTTTAGGCGTGAAAGCGTAGCAGACAGACAGACAGACAGACAGACAGAGTTACTTTCGCATTTATAATATTAGTAGGGATTTATTTAATTAGTGATTTTTTAAGTTCCCAAAATTAGGTGGAATTAATTATTAATGTATTTAAAATTAAAGTTTATTTAAGGTAAAGTCACTAATGCCCAACACTTTAAGGAAAACACTATGTTTAAATGACAATAATTATATATTTATTACACAAAACAATTCCAGCTTTTTTATAGGAACAAAGTGTATCTTAAAAAAATATCTTAAGTAATAAAATTTTCAATAATTAGCTATTTTAAATTATTATCAATAAAAATATACAGAGTGACTGGTGAATTACTATCAATACTTGAGGACGTGATATTTGACGATCATATATGACAGAATAAAAATTAATATAACATAAATATTAATAAACTTCGAAGTAAAGTTAACCAAAAGTTATGTAATTAATTACGCATCGTGTGAACACCCTACAGATTAGGTATACACACACACATTCGCGTGCGGCGGCGTAGTGTTGTATCAGCACGCCGCCACACGCGTCCACTCTTGGAACAGTTGGAACGTGTCCACGCTTTATTTACTTATACGGAAATTTGATCAAAAATTAAATACCAATTTTTTTTACATAATTCGAATGAGAATCATGTACCGAGTATTCTCCTTAAATATTGATAGTAATTCACCAGTCACCCTGTATATATTGTCTTAACCACTAATAGATGACATCACAAAAAACCAAAATTACCAATGGTAGACAGTCAAATGCACTAATACTTGACATTTGGATGATGTTAAATTTTGAGGCTGTCTAAGGATTAGGTCTGGGTTCCGCTTTAAAAAACTGCTGTACCATCTTTTACCAGGCCTCCCATTTTTAAGAGGAGTTTCTAAATTTAAATCATCAACATTTTTTTCACACTATCTTGTAAATTTTGTTTGCCTATTGGAAATCCTAGGTTCACCATAGCTTTAGCCCACTCTACAAGCAAAGCTTCAGTATCATCAGAGATGTAGTATGTTCTAGCCATTTTTCGTTTTATTGGTGTTTACCCTTTATTCAGCAGAGTTACCATCAGTACCCCGAATATTTTGAAGCAGTTGATGTCGGAATTCCTCGTCTGCATTCTTGACTAGCAGCTTCCATATCACATATATTATTGGTGGCATAATTATCAATCTGGAACCTTAGAACCAATAATTGACATCATGTATACCCCAATAATAGACACCATGTCTGCCTTTAGTTACAGTGATCGAATAAAGCTGATATCTCTACAGTAATCTTTTCATTGGAAATAGAGTCCAAAATCGTGCCGAATGTAACATAATAGTTTAATATTGAGAAACACCAATAGATGACACGCCTGTCAACTATTAGATTTTCATTATTCTTTGGAACTAATAGTAGACATCATAATTTGTTAGAAAAATATTAGCAAACACAAAAAGCACTTTTAACATTATCTTAACACCTCATTGATACTTTGACAAATGAATAAGAAGCATTTTTTTATTAAATATCGGTTCAAAATACTGAATACACCTTCAAATTTCGGCGTCCTTAACCTAAAAATTTAAAAATCAAGGAACGCGCGCTCATTCCGTTACGTCTTTGAGATAAACTAACGATATTTTTAAAATTTCGTTTAGAAACTGTTGGGATTTTTTGAGATTAGTTCAAAGATGGTGCTAGGCATCTTATGATATTGTAATAAGAGTCATTTTACTAAAATTGTTTTTAATACAAGAATATTCGTTCGAAGGTGTCATCCTTTAGGTCACTGTATGGCATTAGTGATTTTACCTTAGTGTCTATTTCGATAATAACAGTAGTATGTGAAAAATATTATAATGCAATTAAAGAAATAGTTCATACTTCATACATGGAAACCATCGTTACATGCTTGGAGAAAAGTAGTCTCAATATTTTTTATTTTTAAAAAATATCTTTGAAGATTTTTATGTGATTGCCTCCACTTAGAAAAAAAATCTTGTATGATAAATTCATTGACAGGGTATATTTTTTCAATTATGTTTCTTGATATTATTTTGATGAAAAAACGTAGTTATTGGAATTAAATAATTAAGCTTCCGACATTACCCCGATCACATTGGTATCACATTTTGACATAAATAAAAACGTTTAAATATTCATACTATTTTATTAAGGCAACATTTTTATATAACAACAAATCTTTAGCTTAATTATTACTTTTAATTAATGAAACTAGGCAGCGTACCATTCTTCCTAGCTTTAGCAACATTTTCATAATAGCACGAAAAATCTACGTAGCCTTTAATACGTTTATCTTTCTCATACGGGCGACTAGGATATATATCTGAGGAAGATTCAATCGATCTATTTGTATCGATGTTTGAATCATTCGTTCCCATATCATTAGTACCGGACGAATACAGTTCAGAATCGATTTCGTTCAGGAGCGTATTCGATTTCGATTGAACAATCGGATTGAATCTGACAGCGTTCTGTTTCTGAACTGTATTCGTTTCTTTTGGAGGGATGGGGGGAAGAAAATTGAAGTTTCGTATCAATAATGTTACATGTGTATTGGATTTCGGTGTTAAATTATTATTGATGCAATACGATAGGAATTCTTCTTCGATTTCTTCTAATACTGATTGACTGATTTTCTTGAAGTCCATATCTTTACGCAAGTTTTCTACGATTATCTGTGATAGTTGTTTATTAGTTTGTTCTATACCGCCTTTCATTTCCTGTAATCTTTTGTACACACCAGCGGTGACTAGGACTAGGAATCTGTGGAATTAACATTAATTAATAATTTTCTTCTAATTTATTATACAAATAGCATTAAACACATCTAAAATTACAAATTTTCAATAATTCTAGGTGATTAAGGCATATTAACAGTTTAATACGTATGGCATATATCTTTATTAAATTTATTTGTATTAAAAATACTATTTTAGTTAATTTGACTGATAATTAAACAAATATTCAAAAGAAACAACAAAAACACATGATCTAATACTATAATGTAAAAAAAATAATCCAATAGCCTGCTAATATTATAATTGCGAAAGTTTGCGAGTGTGTGAGTATGTTTGTTATTTCTTCACGCTCAAACGGCTGAACCGATTTTGATATTGTATACAGGAAGCTGACGTCCAAGAATAACACATAGGCTACTTTACATCCCGGAAATCCGCGGGTAACATCGCGGGGCGCAGTAATGAATAAACATAGTAATGATATAAATACATATAATTATAGTATAATTAAATATACCTGCATGATTCATCAAGTTTAATTGGTCCGTGTATCTCTGGTTGAGCTATCACAGGGTCGCTGGTTGCATTGCCAAGGCCAGGGAAGGCTCGGTACAGGCCTTTAACAAGATAGTTACCGAGACATCTTGTGCCCGTCTGATTTCCAAGATATTGGGCTGTAATATTAAAATTCTTGTTATACATTATTATAAACATGTATGACTTTCATGTAAAATTTGATTATAAGTCTGTGAAAACTGAATTAAGACATTTTTACTTTAAGATTAACTTTACTCATAATTAAGTATCTATATACAGTGGATCCATAGTAGTCTAACATACATTTTTCAGGGCCGATTATATTATATAGGGCCCGATATTTCGTCAGAATTTTTTACCAAGGAATACCTTGTAATCTGCCAAATTACAGACGCAATGAAAAAATAATAAAAAGGAATTCACACTGAATAAACTGTAATCAACGACCATACGTAGGGCCGCACAGCTATCTTCTTGCATGTAAGTATGGAAACAAACTAAGCAATTAGAATCAAAACAATGCCTTAAGCATTAAGTATAATAGTGATGGTCCGTACAAGTTGTAACTTGTTCAATCTTGAATAAGCGCATACAATATGTATGTCGGATTATAGGCAGGTCAGATTACTGAGGCTCCACTGCACATAATAGAGAAATTGAATTTGTTTAAGTCAGTAATAAAATAAAAAACAGAATTTGAAAAAATAATCTTACACTTTTAAACATAACTATGATATAATCTATGTAGACTTTACTATAACAGGTTTCGTCATTCAGTGTTGCTACTAGCAATACATATGTTACGAATTTAATATACTTTTATTTGATACACCAACAATTGATAAAAATTTTGTACATCTATATATATAAAGGAGATTTCCACCAATATATTGACTCCTCACGATTACTCTGGAACCATAAGGCGTAGCGACTTGAAATTTGGTAGGATTATTCCTTTCGCCGAGTAGAGGCCAGCTAAGAACGGATTTTACGAAATTCCACCCACATGGGGGGTTGCGGGGGATAAACAATGAAAAATACACTTTCAAGCCTAAACCACTGAACTGATTTTAATGAAATTTGGTACAGAGATAGAGTTGACCTTGAGAAAGGACATAGGATAGTTTTTATTCCAGACTTTTGAAAAGTTCTCCTGGAAACGCGATATAACCGGACTCCACGGGGGCGAAAAGCTAGTTAAACATATAAATTCAATATCACTAACCATTTCTAAACTTATTAACATCCAATCCAAGGTGAGACAGTCGTAACAGCTCATCTTCATTATTCAAACTGTGGTCGACCGTTAATTGAATCACTCTCAACACACCATTGTCATCTGTTCTACACAATAATGCCCGAGTTTCACCAACGTTAGCCACAAAAAGTTTGTTGTGGTGCACCAAAGCCACAACAACTGTTGCTCCCCCTGATAAATGCTGGTCAATTTCCTTCAGACGTTTTAAAATATTGTTGTAATTTTGTGACATCTGGAATAAATTTAAGACAATATTTTATTAAGTAAGTATCATATTAAAGTTAAATTAATGAGTCTGTTTGATGGTTTTTGTTTAAAACTTAGCAGCACACAAGAATTATTATACACACTGATTTCTATAAGTATAATTAAACATAGTTTTATTTTAGTCTCCAACATAGTTAGACAAAATAGTGCTTTAAACAATTGTGATTCTATCATCCTACTAATATTATAATTGCGAAAGTTTGTGATATGTGTGTATGTTTGTTACTTCTTCACGCTCAAACAGCTGAACCAATTTTGATAAAATTTTGTATACAGGAAGCTGATGTTCAGGAATAACACATAGGCTACTTTACATCCCGGAAATCCGCGGGTAACACCACGAGGCGCAGCTAGTCTATATATAAAGCTTCAAAATTTAATAAATTAACTAAATAAAACAAAAGTAGCCATAATATATAATCTAAACTTTAAACATAAACTAAATGTTTACCTGTGCATTATGTGTTGTGTGTGCATTAAGTATTTGTAATCTATATTGTAAACTTGTCCTCTCAGCGATCATACCGTCATAGTTCTCTATATATGCTTTTTCGACTGACACAAAGGCATTTCTGAAATAAAACTGAAAATAAATATATTTAAATCCCTATCAGTAATTTACTAAGTTTATTACAAAAATCTGACATGACAATATTATTTTAAATATCTTCTTTAGTATACAGGGTGACTGGTGAATTACTATCAATATTTAAGGAGGATACTCGGTACATGATTCTCATTCGAATTATGTAAAAAAAATAGGTACTTAATTTTTGACAAAATTTCCGTATAAATAAATAAAGTGTTGACACGTTCCAAGTGTTCCAAGTGTGGACGCGTACGGCGGCGTGCTGATACAACACAACGCCGCCGCACTCGTATGTGTGAGTGTGGGTGTATACCTAATCTGTAGGGTGTTCATACGATGCGTAATTAATAACATAACTTTTGGTTAACTTTACTTAGAAGTTTATTAATATTTATGTTATATTAATTTTTATTTTGTCATATATGATCGTCACAAATCACATCCTCAAATATCGATAGTAATTCACCAGTCACCCTGTATATTTGCAAATTTGTTAGACTGGAAATTGAATTGTTAGCTTGGTCTTATAATTAATTATGTGTAGAGAATATTTTATCAAATGAGAAACAAATAACAAATATGTACTTCATTTAAATCTCTCAATTTATGTAATATTTCAATCACATAATAAAATTAACATTAAGTTACTCATTAAAACTGAAATATAGTATAAACCTTAATTTTTCCCGTATTTCTTCATCAGTACTGGCTGCATTGGGTGGTGGGAAAAGCAGCTCAGCTGCCATACGCTGCATAATAAAACGAGCTGCGTCCAACCCATTGTGAGGCTCGAACACTCCATATAAGCAACTGCAGATAATAATAATTACAAAAATAAAGTCTTTTTAAATGTGATAAGTTCTAAATTGTAAAATTCTATGTTACTTTTAAACATCATCATTCAAATTATATATTCTTTTCAGTTATGTGAAACAGATTCTTCGCAAGATACAACATTTCAGATGCAAATGTCATGTTTACTAAAAATAGTTTTGGAGAAAGAATCTATCCTTGAGTTTTGGACATTTCATGGACTTTTATTCCAATAATGTATCAAAAATCTTATCATTTAGTTGTATTTATACTCTAAATACTTACGAATTATCCTCAGTTTGGCAGTAAAAGCAAAGATAATCGTCGTTAGAACTAGCATTACCATCGAATGGTGAAAAATAGGATGCAACACACGTATTCCGACATTTTGGCAAGTCATCGGTCCATGGTCTTGCAATCATTGTCAAATTTATTACAGAGCAAAACTTATAGTCTAATTTCTTTCACTATTAAAATATAAAATATCTCATGTACCAAAATAAATAATTATATATGACATTTAATACTGACAATCAATGTATATTTCTGACAGTTTTCAAAAGTCGGTACAACGTTTTGTTTTAACACGGGCAAAGTATTTTGTACATGTAGTAGATTGTACACATTCCTAAAGGTCCTTTATAAATAATTATTTTTAAAAATTCAGACATCTACTCTTCATATATTAATTTTAGTTAAACAATAATAATATCTTCCGATACACTACGCGATATAAAATATTACGTATTAAGCCTTTCGATTTCTTTTCATCACCCATTATCACGGATAGACGAAATGTACATAATATTGTCTCACAGTTAGTTTTGTTTTTATAATTCGATTTACTAGACAATTTTCTAGTAAGTATCTTAGAATATTAATTCAGAAAAATATCATGTTATTTTTTTACATAGGTGTATATATAAAAAAATATTTTTAGGACATCGAGACTGATATACCTATATTTAATAAGAAATAACAATATTCATTACACCAATGACACACGTGTCATAGGTTTTTATCATGTTTGTTTCTTATTATCTTTCTTTGCCATTTGCGAAATAGATTATAAATAAAAAAGTTTAGATATTATTATTCCTTCACGTGCTATTAGTTAGATCAGATTGAAAGTTTGAAAGACGCAGATAATATTAACAGGCGATTTATCGAGGTAATTACATAAAATTTAATGTTTTTAATCTATATAATGAAAAAAAATGTTTTGAAGGTGTATTTCCGATAAGGTGTTTACTAACAGGACAGGAAAGTAATAAAAAAGTAGATTGTCACGGATTAAGACAATTTAAGAGCTCATGAAGTGTTTATTACGAATTCTTGTAATTAACGAAGTTAAGGAATTGTTTTTAATGGCAAGTTTTACCTTGAATAAATCCTGCTGTAAGATTATTTTTAACAAACCATAAACATTATTTTTCAAGAGAAAAGTTTCTTAGAAGCTTGAGAACTTTTTAGATGCTCAAGAGTCATGGATCTATATCAAATATAGACATAAAGAATAGTTTCGTTTTAGAGTACTAAGTAAATCGATTAAGTAAATTTTTTACAAAAAAAATCATACAACAATTTTTACCTCTTCTTCTTATTGGTTTAGGCACTCATTATTCTGATATTATAAAAGGCTCTTTGGAAGTTATTTTTTAAGCAAATTTTTAAAAAGAAACATTTTTATAAAGTTGATGTGATTGCAAATCATATTATTAATTTCTTGTACAAAAATATACATTATCGAAATATCTTTTTCTTCGAATAGAATTAACAAAGTAGGAAATATTGTATCTATACTTATAAACTAAATAAATATCATGTTTATTACATAAATTTAAGTATTAACGTCAAAAGTAGACATATAGTAGGTACATGTTTTGAATCTATCTTAATGTAGTATTTGTTTTTTTTAGCGTAATTGTAAACCGTCTATTGTAAATGTCTGAACCATAAGACGGCTAAGAAAACAAAAAATACAGGATATTAAAATGCTTTATGAAATTTTTTTAGTTAAATTTCATAGATTTAATAAAATTATTTCAGGTGGAAAAATTGGTAGTTGTGTCAAATATGACATTACTATTAGTATTATATATATCTGTCACGTTTAACAACCTGTACCTACTCGTAAAATTCATTGACATTAAACATTTTAATGTAGCATGCCATGCTTACGTTATAAACATAAAACATTATTAATAATAATAAATCTACTTCCTGTACTAGCTATTTATAAATTTTAATTATTATGAAATCAGGAAGTTAATTTTAACATAGCAATTGTATGATTACGAGATATTTGCTTTAAGTCTAAACTGCTCCAAATTATTGTCGGATATTATTTCAGTTTTGCCATCCCAGCAATTCTACGATAAACACGACGTTGTAATATGTTCCTAGCTCGCTCCAATTATAGTTAAAATACAGTTTGGTTTTGACGAACGAAGCAATATATGACTTTTTTGTGTCATTTATACAAATATATGTTTATGTACAACACAAAAAGGCACTAAAACTAAATAAGCAAATTTCCTATACTAAATTGTCAGTGATAAATTTGGAGATCTTTGTATGTTGTTAATGAAACATATGAAAGAATAATTATTTATTACTTTAATAAGATAAATAACCAAAAATTACTACTACAATAATCTTTCATCGATACTGCTCAGTTAAGAATTCAACATAGAAGTCCGCTTTTTATATTTCTTTAGTTTCTTTAGATAATAAAAGAGAAAATTAGGTAAATTATTTTTATTCATATTCTAGTGAGGGTAGAAACGAAAAGGTTTTTAAACATTGGACGTCGGCATCGTTCTTGTAAAGAAATCAATTTGTTAAAAAATCTTTGTATTAGATACAATTTAAGTATACTGACATCGTTTTTTACATTTTTTCACAAGACTATAAAAGTATCTAAGTTTTATGTAACGTAAGTATTGTAATATAAAGAATTACACTTTTTTTCCTCCAAAGTAATAAAAGATAAACATATACCAGAATTGCATTTAAATGCATAAGTATATGTATTATAAAAAAGTAGCAGTGGTTGATACTGATAATACAAATTTGTAGAAAATATATAATTTTATATCAAATATTTCGTTTAACATGCAATAGATAGTATTTGCAATTTATTAATTAGCTGACGTCGTTAAATTAAACGCTAATTAGGTAGAACAGGTAGCAAACTATGTATTTATTTGCAAATAATTCGATAGTACCGAGCGTAGTCTTGAGTTGTAGACTTAAATATCTTTATTGATGTATCAAAATGTTTTGAAAATAAATTATACAAAATGATATCTTATCTACGTACACAGATTTTAATAGTTGCTTGTGGTGAGTTTGTTATTTTTTGTACATTTATTATAAAATAGACGATTAATAGATGGAATCAAATGAAATTTAAATAAAATATTTTTATGTACACAAATATGTACGTTCATAATTGTAATATTTTGGTTGATATATAAAAATATGTAAGTTGTCGTTACTAAGAATGAGTTATATATGTATATTTAACTGTTTTTTTAAGGCTTTTGTATAGTGTTGCTTATGGAGTAAAATATTTTCGTCTATGTTATTGGTGATTCTAGATATTTAATACTATATTGTAAACATAATTCTTACATTTCGATTACACCAATAATGATTACTTGCTAACGAGATGAAAGTATTTGTCAATTAGTTTTGTTTGCAGTAGATGACAAATAACAAAACTATGTACCTACATATAAAATAATAAAAATCGCGTAGTATTCGCACAACTTACTTTTATTTAAGTCTGTAAAAATATAAAAAAATGACTTATTTGTTATTTAAAAGCGTAATTATTGATGTCTTTAAAGTGGCGACAATGATTTTTTCTTGGATCAATAAGATAAGTGACTTTTTTGTCATTTTCAGTCAACATTGGCCAGTTTATCGATGGATATAGCGTTGGATGGTCAGCTCCTATTATTCCGAAGCTTCAGAATCCTCAGCAGACTCCTCTTCCACGAGTGATCACGGATCTTGAGATATCATGGATCGGCTCATTGTTATACGTGGGAGCTATTATTGGTATTCAACTTTACAGCTTTCTATAACTATACGAACTATTTCGCACTTAATTATAATGCTTGATGAAAAATATAACTAGAAAAATTCATATTATAACCAAAAAGTAACGTCTCGGAATTCCATATTCGATATTAATCTAAGATTTGAATTCACACTTCAAAAGAAATGTGTGAATTTAATCAAAACTATTTTTGATCATAATCTTTAGTAGACGATGTACATAGTTACATTTATTTAGACTAATATGAAATGGATTTATTTATTTGATATGAGACGGATTAATTATAAACAAATGAGGCAATGTTTACTTATTCTTGGCACAATTAATTATAGCGATCTTAACAAAATATAACATATTGTCAGGTGAAATATGATGAAGCATACATACATACATATATATACATACTTTTAAAGTTAGATAGATGTAGTATATGAAACAGAAGCTATTTAAAAACACGACTTATATATTTGAAATTTCGTGACGACGTATCTGTTTATAAATGGATGTTTGTTTGTTTGTTGCTGTTATTCTCAAAAACTACTATAAAGATTTTGATGAAACTTTACAATCATGTACCTTAGTATATGAGAATAGGACTATCGTTATATTTATCATAGACTTCTCAGAATTGTAGTTCCCACGGGATCACGGTACAATATAGTTGTCGTTGCTGCTTGATTAAAATATGAATTACTTTAATACATTATATATTTCTCTCGGAAACCAATTAAGAATGTCACGTGGATAAAGTCGCGGGCAAAAATTATAATTTATATTCAATTAGTTGCTTACATATTACATGTTACTAATAAGAAAAAATATTATAGTCCATTTAACTCTACAGCAAAGAATTTGACTGTACGTAAAAAAAGATTTATATATTTTCTTGCTGTTTCGTACAAAAAAAAAAAAAATCGTAAACACTAAGTAGCTGACTTACAATTAATCTAATGTTGACTTATCAAATGTCTAGATTACGTGCCAGAGGTCATCTCAAACAGTTTTAGTAATTACTGAAAGATTTAACTTAAGGACTTTATTCTAAATAGGGATAATTAAATGGCTGATTTCCAAAAATAGATATTCTCAAATTGTTTATTCCTTGTACAATCAAAGTGGGTAATGCTTTTTTATGGGAAGATTATCCGTTTTAAATAAAATTAGTGATGCCTTATAATTTCAAGTATACTAAATGTGAAATATGTTATTATTTTTAATGTAATACATATTGAGAATAGAATCAGAGAGCAGAACAAATAAAAATGTAGACAAAATCAGTTATAATGAGGTATTATACAAATACTATTTATTGATTTAATCGATAATCCATAGGAATCGATAAAAAGGAATATTAAATAATTCTTTACTTTCTTAGCCCATAAAAAAATATAAAAATCCCTATAACAAAATTTTAAGCAATTAAATTTTTTTTCAGGGCCGTACATTCCCAGTTACCTATCAAACATAATAGGTAGGAAGCCATGTTTGTTTTTCGGTGGGCTGTTAAATCTGACGGCCATTGTTCTTATAGTTTTTACAAAAAATGTGGCTATGGTCTACGCTGTGAGGATTATAAGTGGGCTGGGAATGGGTATGGTAACAGTGAGCAATCTCGTGTATGTTGGAGAAATAGCGTAAGTATGAGAAACAATATTATCCTATTAACTCTACAAATACCTACTTTGCAATAAATAAATCTGTGTTATTGTCTTTGCAATCGGTTAATAGGCACTTATTTTTTTCGCTGACTATTACAACTCAATTACCTGTCAATACAAAATGAAAAAAAGTTAGAGTTTTATAAAATTTTTCTAAATAAAGTCACCATAATATTATGACACTGAAGAAAGACTCGTAATATATATCTTTCGCAATATTTTGGAGGGTTCACGACGTGCTCGGAATTGGAGAGAATTTTAATCTTCCACCGAGCGATGTATCCCGAAAATGTTTGCGTTGCAAATATAAAGTAAAATTTCGTGAGAAAATTCCGTATATAAATTGCAGTAACGAACTCAACGCTATTTTAAATTTGAATATTTCTGAATGGAGTTGAAAACTTATAAGAAATTTTTTCCATAGCTTTGTCATATTAATGTTCAAGATTTTTTTTGGTACTTTAGAATTCTAATGAAAATTTCGTTTTCAGTTCATCAAATATACGTGGTATTCTTCTAACTTCTACATCCATAGTCGGTATTTCTGGCACACTCGCGGCTTATAGTGTAGGACCGTACGTATCATATGCTACGACAGGTTATATAGCCTTAGCCATAAATATAGTTCACGTGATTGGAATATATTTCATACCAGAGTCGCCAGTGTACTACGCTATAAAAGGTTTGTAATAACTTATAAATATTATAAAGAAAAATATAAAAACCAAAGTATTCGATAAATTTACGATGAACGTTAAGATGCGATGAAAATATAAAAAGTATATCTAGAATTTTCGATATGCTTTTAACTAAATTAAATTATCTAAGAAGTTATTTAAGCGTTTTCGATTTTTTTTTACTTTCTTAATCTATAGTTAGATATAGAATAAAATGTTTGAATAGTTTATATTTTATAACAAACAAATACAGTATGTACCTGGATTCGTTTAAAAAGGCATTTTATGAATTATCATTAGTATTACATGACTCGATTTCATTATTAACTTTATACAATTCTCGATATTTAAAGGAGTTATTTCGTAAAACGTCACAGTATACACAATGCAGAACGAAATTCATTTCCATACATATTATTAATGTGATTGCAATATGTCTTATTATGTAGTAATTATAAGTTAGAATAAGTTGATTCATAATAACAAACGAATGAGGTCAAATGAAGATAAATGTGATGATGTTTTTACTTACAGAAAGTACTGTGATATCATTTTGCATAAAAATAGCTTATATTTTTTCTATATTATTCATTATACAAGATATTTTTTAATTCCTTTGAATATTATCCTATACTATAATATAGTTTTTTTATATTTTGTTGTTTTTCTATTAATATAAAGTTAAAGGTACATATGTAATGACACTTATTAATCATTGTGGTTAGAATTTTCATGAAATAAAACTTATATTTTCTGTATCTGTAAAGTAATCAAAACGTTGTGAGTATCTCGTACAATATAATAAAAAACGTGTAGTTACCTGAAAATATTACTTTTTTTCAAATATTTGCGCCAGTCTTGGTTCTTATGATTATTAATTGTTTCGTTTGATTAAATATTAGAAATGTAAAGATACAATTGAAATAGATAAAATAATGAGGGAGCATTGAGGCTAATTTTTTAACAATATTTTATACGATTTTTTTGAAGATTTTAAGGTTTTAAAAGCAAATGTAGTATATATATATATATATATATATATATATTTATTATATTTGTATATGAACCAGTACATAACAAACCTATTTATTAATAAATTTTGTGTCACTACCTATAAGCAATACATACTTATATATGTAGTATATTTCACAAATAAAATTCCAGGAAAACAATTAGAAGCGAAGAACACACTGCGATACTTAGGTCGTTTGGATGATTTGGACAATGTGTTTGATTCAGTCAGTGGAATAAATCCAAATGAAGGCCAAAGTTGGAGGGCTTGGATCAAAATATTCACTGAGAAGACCAACAGAAAATCTCTTATAATAACTTTAAGTCTATGCACCTTGCAACAGCTAAGCGGAGTCGCTGTTGTACTTTTCTTTGCAACAACTATCTTTGAAAGCGCCGGTTCTTCTATACGGTTTGTAGTTTTTTTACCCAGTCATTTTGTCTAAAAGGTTAAAGGTCCGCCTTTCGTATATGTAATTTCTTTCGATGTTCTATAAGACTTAGGAGTAAGTAACTCGAAAGTTGGTACTATTATTTAGCTTTACATATTTAAACAAAATTCGTGGTGGCCTAGTGGTTAAAGGCCTGCCTCCCATGCATGAGGGCGCGGGTTCGAAACCTGGCAATTAGCAATGTGATTTTTCCGAGTCATATGTACTTTCTTAGAATATTTAGACACCATTGACAAATGGTGAAGGAAAACATCGTGATTCATGAGGAAACCTGGACTTATAATTTCAAATTATAAGTTTGAAATCATCAACCCGTCTTAAGCAAGCGTGGTGATTAATGCTCTAAAGTTCTCCATCTAAGAAGAGGCCTTTGCTCAGCTGCGGGCTCTGATAGGCTGATGATGATAATACTTGACATTCACAAGGCCATTATTTGTGTTACACACATTTAGTGATTAGAAAATTATGTAAACTTCTTTTACATTAATTCAATTATAGATAACGATTACAGCGGTATTTATAAAATTAACATGAAATAGTTAAAACTGTTTTAATTATTTTAAAACTATTAAAAGTAATTAATATGTTAAAGTCTGAAGACGCATTTACATGTTAGGAACACAAACAATTATTGGAAGTAATTTAAGTTGGAATCTCGATTTAGACTTGTGTTGGCACTAACTTGATGTCTAGCTATTAATATATACATATATATGTATATATAATTTAGACGAATATAGTATTTCATTCACATGGAATCGTCTCTGAAATCCTTGCCCAAAGATCATATGGCTACATCCTTAATGAATTATTTATCATGTGTTTTATCCGTATCTATTTGCCTATTGATTCTGTACATTCATATAATTTACAAATGCATGTGAAGGTACTCGGGCATATTATAAAGAATTAAGAATTAAAATATATATGTATGTTTAACTATGTCTTTAAGAAAGTTATGTTTTTTCGCGAAGTAAATGTGTTCTTGTAAAGTCTAGAATATGTATACTAAAATTTATACTTAGTTTTTATATATAAAAGTTTTTCATATAATTTCAGACCAGATATAGCAACTATTATGATCGGTGCAACAAGACTTCTTGCTAGTTTGATAGCACCATTTGTCGTTGAGAGAGCAGGACGGAGGATATTGCTTCTCGTTTCAACAGTATTCTGCGCTGTCAGTCTGGTGGGTAGTTTGTGATAAAAATATGATATATAAATTATTTAAAATAATGTAACTGAGTTTAATCTAATAATAAATTTATGAATTTACCTCTTTATATATTAGCTTTCCGCCACCAGCTTCGCCTGCATAGAGTTCGGTTTTATCGCGTTTCCAAGAGAACCTTTCAAAAGTCTGTGATAAAAACTATCCTATGTTCTTTCTCAAGGTCAACTCCATCTCTGTACCAAATTTCATTAAAATCAGTTCAGTGGTTGAAAGCGTAACAGACAGACAGACAGACAAACAGACAGACAGAATTACTTTCGCATTTATAATATTTAGTAGGGATAAAATTGATTTTTCAAGAGGATTTTAATGCGTTATGATTTAACAGAATTGTTAGACTATTCAAAGATTTATTACTTTATCACAGTGCAATAAAAATCAGGCCATGCTATGTATAAGAACTAAAACTATTATACATATTAATAGAAGTTATTAATCAAACAAAATACGTTTTCAGTTCACTTTAGGTTCTTATTTCCATCTCACGAGGGTTCAAAGTCCTTTGGCTCAAAACATCGGATGGCTACCACTTGTGTCACTAATTCTGTATTTCTTCTCATACGAAATAGGTAAGTTATACCAATTTAGATCAACTATTAACATTTTACTTCGTTAACCCAAATAAAGCAAAGAAAAACAAAAGTAATTTTGTCTGAAAGCAAAATTAAAAACTTGCGTGAACGGCCTCGTAAATCAATTCTATATATAGTTTGATAAATTTATAACGTAACTTAGTCCGTTGTTTTTCTTAAGACCTAAAATGTAATAGATAAATTACCTTTCATAGTAAGTGCTCTTATTTTATAAGGAGGCTAAGAAATTTGTATTAACTAATAACGCAAGAAAGGTCTTGATTTATTATGTATGTAGGTATGTATGTATACGTGTCTGTGTGTATTTGTGAATGTATATTTACGTATATTGAATAAGAACTAAGTTAAATAACTGTATGTCTTTGATAGTAATCATGAAAATTTTCAAATATAATTTATATTATGACATTATAAGTACAAGATAAAAGTACTTAGCTATTTTTATTGTTTAAATTGTTTATTGCCTTCAAGTAAAAGCTTTTTTATTGGTTACTTATTTTAACATTCAATGCAGTTTTTACTTCTTTTCTCCCAATTTGAATTCCGTTACAAAATATTTTGTTATTTTCCAGGTTTCGGTACAATGCCTAGCGCTTTAGTAGGTGAAATGTTCCGAGGCAACGCTAGGAGTACCGGTTCAGCGGTTGCCATGACAACCGCCTGGTTGATAGGTTTCGGTGTGGCGACCGGTTTCGGAACCATGGTTCAGGTTTTCGGTGGTGACGTCACATTCTGGTTGTTCTCCTGTTCATGTTTAGCAGCTTTTTTGTTTACTTACAAATATGTGCCAGAAACGAAAGGAAAGACTTTGAATGAAATACAAGAAATGTTGAGGTCTTAGAAGAAATTTGTTTGTGTTTTTGAGTTTTGTAGCATATTTGTGTGGTTAATTTATTTGATATTTTCTTATATGTATTATGAATGTCATTGTATTTAGAATTTTATAATAATTTATAAGCTAAAACTATTTAATTTCACTCAATAGTAACTAGGCAAAATATTTAATGACTTATTGGATGATATTTATTTTTTTGACTTAATTGTATTGGATTTTGTGAAATTATTGCTGTATCTAATATTATATAATTATCCATTGTAGTAAAAGGAATTTATGATAACTAAAATAAAATGTATACAAGAGAAAAATAATATTTTATGTATTATAAAAACAACAGTGTTGTATTCAATATTGTAAATTACGAATTATTAAACAAAAATACTTTTGTCTAAATGTGTATATTTATATATGTGTATATACATATATTATTACCCATACAAAATAACAAAAATCTAAATGTATCTATCATGAAAGATCGACATATCTTCTTTGTTAACTGAGGCATCTAACATTTTCGTTGGAAATTTTGTGGTTAGTGGGAATGTCTTTCAGACCGCAAATACCTTCAACACCGGAACACAGAAGTTTGAATGATATTGGTATTTAACAGAGTTATAAACTGCAATTATGAACATTTTGTAATATTCTTGTTTTATTAATGATTTTGTAAATTATGTTTTATGAACGATGGCTCTAATAAAACATATAATTAAACATTTTAAATAACTTAACTTAGATTTTCATTAAACATGGTTTCAATGGTTTACCACTGTTAAGAATTACTTTTCAGTCTGAAATTGAAATGGAATGTTGAGTTTCAAATAAAATAAACTGGTTAGACGATATTCTATACTTTGTGATCTCAAAAATAAATTATTTTGTTCGATGCATAGAAATAATTCTTACTTAAACATTTTCTTACTGTTTTGATTTTTTTTCTTATTTGTTCGTCTTGATTTTTTTTATATCACCATCTTTATATAGTATGACGTTATAGAATTACAATGAAATATATTTGATTACGATGTTGGGATAAATTAACATGATTCATAGATACATTGAAAATTATTTCTTGTAAACAAAAATGCAATCCTATCCGATTATTACTCATTAAAACACTAAACGTATTTAAAGTGTCGCTGTGAGTAAAAACACAGTCATGATTAAGTGGTTTTTCAATAACTTTTCATTATAATAATATGGTAAGTTAAAAATACATTTAAATAGCTCTATATATTACAGTTCAAATCAAGTACAAGACTAAATGTAACATTGTGTGTTTGTCTGTCGATATTTAAAGTGTTCAAATAAACTGCCAGACAGAAGGTATATGGCAGTGTTCATTTGAAATTGTTAACAATATTTCCAATAATATATGTAAAAATGATAACTTTAATTAAAGTGAGTACAATTTTTGCTTGCCTGTAGCGCCTAATACCTGTGAATTAGCAATCGTTCTAAGCTAGTAGATGTACTCGTAGGTACCTACGTATTAATACTAATGTTTTGAGTTTTGTTAAAAATTAAAAAAAGCCTTTGGGCCCTAACCACGTTCTGTTAAGAAATGTGTGTATGTGAGTTTTCAAATTAAGTTGAAGACACATTTTTTAATTTAAAAGGATGACAAACGACCAGACAATCCATCCTTTGGTATGACTACAATCACTTATGAACAACACACACAATACACATATTTAGTTATCATTGCCACCATAAAAATATTAAGACATTAATCTTACTATACACATAAGGATTAGGATTACGCAGACAGAAAATAACTAGCTTCAAGCAGTTGGTTCGATTGTAAGAAATAAAATCACGTTTTTTTTAATGACATGTTGATGCCAAAGACCGTGCAGATTGGAGGAGTTTAAGCCGGAAGGCAGACCCTGGCTAAATCTGGGAAATTGCCAGGAAGAAGAAGAGAACATGTAAACAGTAACAGCAAATAATAACATATAAATCTAAAAGAAATGTTAAAAAATTAATTTAATGATTACATATCGTATTTTAGAACTTTGTTATTTTAAGAATTCTTTGCTGTGTCAGATAATAGGCTATAATTACATTTGAAATTATAATGAGTTTCTTTTAGCCAGCTCTGTGATAAAAGATAAATGCTTTTGTAGTCTAGGTACTTCCACAGTAACCCTAGATATCTTTATATTGTTACAATTGTGAATATCAAATTTTTTTTTTGATCGTATGGGTAACGTTGTTTACTACAACACAACTTTGAGATGGTCATAATATCACGTCCAATTATCTAAGCTACATGGCTTTGGGGGCATCACACGAACATTCATAACATATTTGTCATAGGACGTCTCCGCCCGCCTACAACATTTTTTTTTTATTTATTTATTTGTCATAGGACGTCTCCACCCGCCTACAACATTTTGTTTTTATTTATTTGTCGTAAGACGTCTCCACCCGTCTACAACAATTTTATTTTATTAACCATTTTATTATTATTATTATTTTGTTATGGTTCGGATCCGCCATCAAAGGCATCTTTTATAGTAATAATAATAATTTAATAATTTTATAGTAATATATCTCAAAGTAAGTGTTTCAAAATCACACTTCTATCTACGAAATATGTAATGCGTTTGAAATGAAGTAAATTGAACAAAATGAAATACGCTCACCGGATAACTATTAGGTAGTCGAACAGTCCACCTTGCTGCTCGTTTACTTATACTCTCTCGTCACTACAGTGGAACTTCGTCTGGCTGGTCACGAATCACATTTCAAAGTGTTCCTCGGTTTCTATTACTTTTTCTGTGATATTTTTTTTATATTAAATGTCCATTCTGAAATTATTTAAATTTTAGCTCGAAATCTCTAAAATCCAACTTTTTATCTTCTCTCCGCCTCGACCATCCTGTTTTAAATGTGTTGCTTCGATATCCACGGACGGATTGTCAAAATGTAATCTAAACTGTTAAAGCCGGATTGAATTCGTATGTTCATAACATCGGCAAGGATACTAAATTTGTCAGATGTACGCTAAAGCCTGTAATCACAAAACTCTTTATATTAATAATAGAGCCCGGCCTCAATCCTCGCAAATAGTTGACTGATTTGTTTTCTATTCCCGGAGATGTTATTTGCCATTGATTCTTGTATAACGCACCCCTGAAATCATGCATTTTATTAAGATTAAATTTACCAGTTGATATTAAATTTAAATTCGGCGTGATATCCTTTTCCCGTCGACAACATGATTCAAACGTTTGACCACGGTTAGCAGAAATGGAACAAATCTTAGCTGTACTCGCAATAGGTGTATTTGATTAGAAATTTGGAGTCAACTATGCTATCATTTGAATTATAACATCGTTTTTTTTTTTTTTTAGTGGCAGTGCTGTGTGTGTTGACCGACATGTTGTTAATATTACTGTGGAGAGTATGTCTACAGTCGATTCTAAATAAAGCCGTGGCGCCGGCGGTTTGATATCAAAATCATGTAAATTCTTATAGATTGAGTGACTTCATATTTACTCATTGTTTCCCAAGGCCGCTCTTCGTCATCTCATGGTATTCTCAAGGATACAGCAAGGATCTGTGGTTAGCTCAAGGGTAATACGTGAGTAGCTCAGAGGTACCCTCTCCACATCTGTGGCGTAGACTTGTCTTCTCACGGTTCCACAAGGCATCCCTACGTAATCTCATGGTTCTCTTTCGGATACATCAAGCACCCGTGGTTAGCTCAAGGGTAACTCGTGATTAGCTCAGAGGTCACGCTCTCCAGATCTATGGTGTAATACTTGTCTCTTCACGGCTCCACAAGGCTTCCCTACAGAATCTCATGGTTCTCTTGAGAATACACCATGGACACGAGATTAGCTCACGGAAATTCCCTAAACACTAAAGGCAACATAGAGCTCTCATTATTTCCGAAAAAGAAGAGCGCCTCTTATATCGTAAGTTTTAAAGATATCACTATTGAAATAGTTTGCCTCTAGTTTCGTGATAATAAAATTAATTTCGTTATCTATTTCTTGTTTAGCCTTCAACCAATGGTCTGCTATCGCGGCGAAATGAAAGCATTTTTGATTCGAAATAAGTGGCAAAGGATATCTATCAGACACCGTATTCCTATTTAATTCTCTCTATGACATTATTCAAATGATTTTTCAGTTCCAATCTTGTTTGTTTTAAAAATGAGACATTATTTTTAATCTCTATAGAATACTCTAATGTAAGCAGATCCTGTCTAATTAAATTAAAGTAAGTAATAAACTGAATCACTCTTAAATTGTTTAAAGAATGTAGATATAACATTTTATGCGAGCGTTACTTCACCTTCTAATGCAATTGTATTATTATATTGTGATTTACTTAGAAATCTATCTTTCAAAAAAAAAAATATTTTTTTTTTTTATATTAAAGAACATTCGGTATCCGAGTCGAAACAACATGAAAACCTCTCACCGGTTTCACTCCAGAGCTGAACCATATCTGGATTGAACAGATATCACGCGTCGTTCGGTCCATGCTTAATTGGCTTTGAATTCAACACTGGGGCAGCGCGGCGCAAAGTAGCCTCGTTCACCATACTTGAAGCAACTAGGACTAATCATTTACTTCGGCGCGCCAGGTTCTTTTAATTGTTGAGAGGAGCTGGTATCTGAAAACTCAGGATGTGTATTAGTATTTGGTCAAGCCTGCTATGGCCTCAACCTTCAGTTAGACCGTGCCCGTCTTGCCTCAGTTATAGCGCCACATCGTCGCATAATATCTCCGCTTAATATCCATACTACGTGGCTTCTTACGTAAATGTTGTAACCAATCGTATTCACATATTTGAGCTCACTCCTTTTAAAGATTTCATTTTCATTTGAGAATCATGGTTCCTGATTTACTACGTATTTATAGCCATATAGATGTGTTGACACCATTCCCGAAGACATACTACCACCGGGGTCAAACGATGATAAAAATGATCTTATTAGTAATTTTAATATTATCCCTTGATTTATTTGTAGTAAACGTTTGCACACGCTCTGCATTATTGACATCAATGAATGGCATGAAAAAAATTTTCTTTTAGCGTTCTTCAGTACGCAAGTTCTCCACATGGTTATTTTCTTCAGCTGGATAGGATTTATAAGACCGGCATGATCACGAGAGCGATCCCACTTCTGATATCGGATTTAATACAGATTCGTTGATTTTAAAGAGAGGGACGCCAGCCTCGCTGTCGTTACAAATGTCACTTCTTCTAGAGCATTCGATGATATTTTAAAATGAAACTGCAATTGATCTTAATGCTCTTGTATTTCTCAAAGATTCTTCATAATAACATGCTTTTATGATACACGCTCACTGAACTCTGAATTATCAATGCTGAATTCTCAATACTGGAGTCCGCCGTCGTGAGTCCAGACGTCATATTTTTTGATTCAAACAATTCTATTCTCTTTTGATTTCGTTTTACTTTTAACAATAATCATAAATACTAATGAGGTTTAATAAGAATTGATGGCAGCCTCTAATTATTTTCAAGTCGCATCCGTTATTAAAGCTGGTAGCGCCGATATATATATTCTGTTTCAATATATATCCTTAATATGTCTATAATTAGACCCAAGAGGTAGTAATCGATTTTTGTTTTGTCAATAGTGTACTTAGGACAAATGTCTGTTGGTTTCTCAATATCCTGGTCTGGTCCCAGTGTGGCTAAATTACAACAAAAAGATAATTCACCTCTTCCATTTATATTAACGGAAACACAGGTTTCTTTAGTGGCATCGTTAATTTACGCAGGAGCTCTACCAGGTTAGTCTACTTTGGGGTAAAAAATAGACTTTCATTAAAACAACCAAATACAAAAGTAATGTTGACAAAACAAATTGCAGGTCCATATTTAATGGGATGGTTGTCAAACACAAAAGGTCGAAAACCATGCGTCTTGCTTGGTGGCGCGTTCGGTATTATAGGTAAGATATAAAATATCAAATTGTTTAATCCTATATAAATAATAATTTGGTGCATTTTTTTTTTAAACTACAAAAGTTGCTAGGGATAATTATACATATTAACTCTGACTTTGAGGGCTGTTGCCAACTTTTAAGGACCTATTTTTTTACCGTTTATATTTTTTATCATTTAAACTTTTGAAATATTATCTTTATAGTTTTTTTTTGTAGTAATCTTTTTTAGGTTACACGCTACTGGCGTTGGCTAATACTGTGATGATGCTTTACTTCGCTAGAATGATAATAGGTTTAGGAGTCGGCTGTCTCGTTGTAATGATCTTGGTATACGTTGGAGAAATAGCGTAAGTATTTTTAAATGGCCATCTTTATATATACAACTTTACTTTATGTGTGTATGTATGTATGTGACTTAACTCCTCCTAAAACACTGCACCGATTTGGATTTTTTTTGGTATGCATTTGAGTGGCCCCATATGGTTTAGATTCACAAATTGACCTGGCAAATGGTGCTGTAGTCGGTATTTATGTTATTTTAAACGATAAAGCTACAACATTGCTGACTGAATGTATTGATTTAGCACACTTTTTTCTTAGCACAACTCTAATGTTCATGCCGACTGAGTCGCGGGCAAATTCTAGTTTTATATAATTATTTGGACAGTTCCTCCAAACTTGATTTGATTTAATAACGGATAATTATTAGTCGTAGAATGTATTGAATCCAATATTAATTGAATTTCTGACACTAAATGAATGTTATTTGTTAATATATCGATGACATTGGAGGAGATAAAACTAAAAATGCTAGTTCTTTTTAATTTATAGACAGTGTATGAGTTATTGGGAAGGAGATTACATTATTATTTATTTTATATATTTTCCTAGATCTACGGGTATAAGAGGTACTCTGTTGACCGTTGTTGGTTTATTTACAACTAGTGGATCAATAGCACTATATTCTAATGCATCATTTCTATCTTACTATGAAACAGCCTATGCCGGACTAGCACTATTCACAATGTTTACTCTATGCGCATTGATGATACCTGAAAGTCCAATTTATCATGTGTTGAAAGGTATTTTTTTATCCCATCCTTATTTGCTTTAATATTTATTTATTTTAAATAACCGTACACTTATTGAAGCTTTGAAAAAATGCTCTTACAGGGAACGAAGAGGCTCTTAAAAATGTATTACAAGAACTTGGTAGATCTGGAGATATAAACGAAGTAATTTCATCAAAGAATGAATTTAGTGTTACTAGCAATAAACAAGACTGGAAAGATTTAGTTACTTTACGAAGCAATCGAAGATCTTTATTCTTATCTTTAACAATTAATGTTTTACAAGCAAGTAGCGGTGTGTTGGCTGTGGTATTTTTTTCATCAATTATTTTCGAAATTGCCGGTTCCCCATTGAATGGAGACGTAGCAATGATAATTATTTTATGCTTACAATTGCTTGGAACCGGATTGGCTGTCCTGTTAATAGAGATACTCGGGAGAAGAGTGGTGCTGTATGCATCGAGTTTGATGTGCTCTTTGGCCATGGTAGGTATTGATACTACTGTGGGTTGCTAAATACTTTTTAGAATGTAAACTTTTAATGTTTTACTAATGAGTTTTAAAGACGGGAATATGCGAACAGCCCTAGTTTTTGCTACGATAAAAATTAAAATATTTTAATTATTATAATACGAGTATATTTGTCTATATACAGAGAAGACGAATTATTTTTCATATCTATTTAAAAATATCACTTTTTTTTACTTCGTCATACATACATAATATTGATCATAAGTGAGCATAATGAAGTGTAAGCATATTGTTAAAAAAAATCCAATAGAGTTTTAGTTAATTTTAATACTACTGTTAATACATGAGAAAAACTTTTTATTTAAAATTACCTTTCTCTTAATTATCTTATTAAGGTTATCCTTTAAGATATTAATTTACGGTTGGATTACTTTATAAGTTGAAAGATACATATGTACAATCCATTTACGTTTATTTCAGTTTATTTTAGGTGTATATTTTTATCTGCTAGATATTGAAAGTCCGCTGATAAATCATGTGAATTGGCTGCCAATTGTTACACTCGCAATATTTTTTATTGCATATGATTCCGGTAAGTATAGATTAGTTATTAGGTAATTAGAATAATATTTTTTATTGTTAACTAAGTTTATTGAATATTGATACTTATGATCATTACATACGTGGTATTTTAAATTGTTTTTTAGTATGTGAATTTAAAAATTATTATATACGAAAGTCCGATGTAATATTTTCCATGGGTATGGACTAATATCCATTTGGCAATATAAATAAATTAGCAGTTTTTCACTAAAGAGGCACCAAACAAACAGTCTTTTGATAAATAGCGAATGGAATCAACTAATCTCTTGAAGTTTTAGTATACGTGTATACACTTGATCTTCTTAAAGAATATTCTTAAACTATCAAAGAATATTATATTTAACAACAAGTTGAAGTTTCCTCATGTTATTAAGAAACAATTTTACGCTTTATCCATAAAATAAATACATATTTTTATAGTAAGTGTCGGAACTATTATAAATTGATATTATATGTATAATTAATGATATTTATATTATATTACAGGAATAGGTATAATACCTAATGTACTCGTCGGCGAGATGTTTACATCGAATGCCAGAAGTAATGGCACTTCGGTGGCATTAACGACTTCTTGGGCAGTCGGTTTCATTATAACCACAGTATTTGGGGCGGTTATCAACAGGATTGGGGCATTTGCACCATTTTGGTTCTTTTCTGGAAGTTGTTTTGTGGCATTTTTATTTACTATATTTTTTATTCCTGAGACAAAAGGTAAAAGCCTTTTAGAGATTCAAGAGGAATTAAGCAGACGAACTTAGTATCGTAGTAGTATGATATATTATTTATATTTCATTTTATTCTTATTTATTTAATATAGATCTGATCTCTTTAAAATATTTGTCAATTTTGATTGACAAAAAAATGGATAAAATTCACTTACTTTTTACAGTTTTCCGTATGCTTCATTATTTGTAAGGGAAAAAAACTTGACATCTTGTTTTTTTGTAATTGTAAGAAACTGCTTGTGAAATTTTCTTAAAATAAATTAATCCCTTACAATTCTTCTGACAAAGCACGAGGTGATAAGGCGAAATTTTGTATACTTTTTATCCTTTGACACACATGTCATATAATATTAAAACAGAGGGAAAGTAAAGTAGATTTTTCTTATAAAAATTACCTTATATTATACAGTTTAGAAACGAAGTAACTTATTGTTTTATATTTTATTATATAACTTACCTACGCTATGTGTTTTATTTGTTAAAATTTTAATATTTCTTTAAGATACCTTACCTTATGACATTATAAGATTTGTTACGTACGTTCTACATATTAAAAATTAAATGAACATCGCCGAGGCAACTTCGTTGAATGGATAAAATATGTATTATATAACGAGTGACGCCGCTGACTCCGCGGAACGAACACTAAGCCGTGTGAACCAGAAGATTCCTGATACCACACAAGCTATGGGATGGTATTGCTTTCCTAACATTGAGGCAATCATGTAGTGTTAGGTATATTTTATAAGTTTTAATATGTAGTTCTAGAGACGAAACCTCTTAGCATTCAATGGATTCACCGTGCGGGTGCCGGGTCCATTGCGTTGCAGGGAGAGGAGCTTCAACAGTGCCTGGGACTTGCGACCCAGGTGTAGGTTTAAGGGGCCCCTTAACTAACGCGCGTTATACGCTCACCTCCACTGTCCAAGTTCCTCTCCCTACCTAACCAAATTTGAAAAGAACCTACTAGGGCTGCCTTCGACGTACGTTCTAAGAATGAATTAATGTTAGTTCTGGACAGGCCCAAGTCTTTTAGTAGGTTATAGAGAGATTTAGCTGTTATACCTCTCGCTCCCACCTCTACCGCGTACAAATCAACGACGAACCTATTTCGAGTTAGTTCGTTAGTGAGCTCGTAATACTTATTGACCTTGATGGCATGGTCTTTGGGGATGTTGGTTTCCCAAGGCACCGTAAGCTCTATCATCACAACGCGCTTTAAAATACGCGAATATAGAAATATGTCTGGTCTGGAGGCCGACGCACAAATATCCTCGGGGATTTTGTATTGTTTCTCATACGTATCCATCATGATAGTCCAATCCGAAGCCGCTTTAAGGATAGAGTAAGGCTTGACGTTTGATTTTATAGCCCTGGTGCCCTCTCTCACAAAACCTATTGATCGCTCGTTTGTGGTTATTTCCCTTTGCGCTCTGGCTACCGAAAGACTAACCGCTTCACGTATGATCTCTAAAACCCTATCGTGACGACGCGAGTATTGACCGCTGTCCAGGAGAACCTTACATCCCACCAGCAAATGCTTGGCAGTTCCAACTGCCTTTCCGCAGATATAGCAAGTTTTTTCGGTACCTTTACCCCATCTTACTAAATTACTCTGATCTGGGAGAGTCATCTGGAACGCATTGAGATAAAATTTTAGCAAGGCTGGCGACCAGTCATGAATTAGGGTGCGCCATTTTAGTGCTAGTGGAATGCAAAAATCTCCCATGTCTAACCACTCGTTCTGCATTTCTAAACTCATTGCATGGATCTTGTATTTATCGTTCTCGTCTTGCCGAATAAAAGACTTCAATATATCCGTATCTTGGACTTTCCTACTTGATCCTAACCCTACTCTGTTATTTTGCGCTCCGATCATAAATTGTTTATGGAATTGAAGTCGTGACTCTAGCTCTGGGGCATCATTGTCTTTTGGGAGTGATGTAACGACGTCATCATGGGATTTTCCCAGGATATGTCTCTTGGAAACTCTTAGGTGTTTGTAGAGCTCCGATGGTCTTTTTAGATTCATCCCAAAACTATTACGATCCCTGAATAAAGCCGATGAATCAGCCGTTAGCGCGAGCCCGAGCCACAACTTCAACATCTTTATGACGCCTGCATCTAATTTAGATAAAAGGGTTTTACTAAAATCATAGACGAGGAAAGGCCAATTCAAACGTGAAGTTAAGTAATTATCGTAGATCCATGCTTTTTTTACGTTACTGATCTGCTGGCTATCTACCTTGTTAAGATCATTTAAAAAGCTATCTACTATTCCTTCTAAAGATGGAGTACGACCTATATTATCAATCTTACGACCGAGAAACTTGAATGGTGCATCTTCCGTAACCGTAGAAACGCATTGACCGCCTATCGATAGTCCCGGATCGTATGAGGTGTATCTTGTATTCCGCCTACCAAGACACAAACAGTGACATTTACTTGGTTTTGTCCTCAATCCATCCGTCCACTCACAGAATTTATCCACTTCATCCAATAGTACTTGACAGTGTTTGGGATGACGTGTCAGTATTGCGAGATCGTCAGCGAAGGCTAAAATGGATTCCGTGTATTTATTATTAAACTTAAACCGATAACCCCATTTTTTCTCGTTACAGATTAATTTGTCTACTAAGATGTTAATAACGATATTAAACGTAATTGGAGATAGACAACAACCTTGAAACAGTCCTACATTATAACTCAAACTTTTTGAAGGGCCTTCTTTAGTTATTATAGAAAACCTTAATTTTGAGTAATACGACGCGATCATATCTCTAACTAGGGGTGGAAAGTTGTACCATCTAAGCGCGAATAGCATCAACTCGTGTTGTATCGACCCGAACGCGTTCTCTAAGTCTATCCAACAAACTGTAATTTGCCGCTCGCTTTTTCTAGCATCTTTCAAACTCTCCGACAGCAAGGTGTTGTGTTCTAGGCATCCAGAAATCCCGGGTAGAAACCCTTTCTGGTGATTTGGCCTAAAATACTTGTTGCTGTGCATGAATCGCGTCATTCTCGTTTGTAGGACCGAGAAAAAGATTTTAGAAATTGTATTTGTTAAGGCTATCGGTCTAGTATCCTTCGGATCGGTAACTCGATCTTTTTTGGGAATGAGGACAAAAATTGCTTTCCCGAAACACTCCGGGATTTGCTTCCTTGACCAGATTTTGCCGTATATATTTATGAGGTGTTTACGAACCGATGGACATTTTTTAAAGACTATATATGGGATACCATCGGGGCCCGGTGCAGATTTAGATGATTTCCTCTTTATGTGACTACTTATTTCGTCTAACGTTGGTGGTATGCCGTGAAAATCGATATGAGGAATTTCCGGTTTTTGTTCGTTTGGATCCGTATAGAGCCTTACACTTTTAGGCACTTCGTATGTGCTCTTGAAATGGTCGTAAATTTGATCGTTGGTCAAGAGAAGCTGTCCGCGTTCTTTCTTAAAAATGGTTTTCGAATACTCAAAAGGGTTTTTATCAAAATCTACTTCCTGTTTGGCCCGGTCAAAATTACCGCGATATCCTGCAGTTTGTGCCGATATTCCTTGAATTAATTTAAGGATTGACCTTAACGCCCTAGCTAGCTGATGACTAAGGTGGTTGTCGCCTAGAGCTTTGGCTATACGTAGATTTTTTATTAATTCCCGTTTTTTCTTCCTCATTTTTATCTTGAACGAATTTTCTTTATTTTTGCGAGCGTAATGATTACGTGGTGGATATTGCTCGTTGAAGTAGTCATAAACGGTATTTTGGAAAGTTTCTACCTGCGAGTTCAATTCCTGTTTCGAGCCCGGATGCTTTAACAGGACCGCTAAATTGTCGTCGTGAACTTTCCAAGTCGATTGTTTCATGTTAGGAATGCTAAGACGTGTCCGGATGTTAATGGACTCCTGGTGGTTTCCAGTTAATGGTTCACCATGGGATACGTGAGGGTCAACTCTATCCGAAGTGATAATTGAAGAACTTACCAACGATTGTCGCGCTTCAACACCATTATGTGTTTTTAGGTGTTTAATGTACCAGGCTCGTCTCTTGTAATTTTTCCCGCACGTAGGGCATTTCAAGTCCGTATTCGCGCCGTTTTCGCCGTTTAAATCGACCGGTGGACAGATCTTCCGCCCCCCCTCTCGGACTGTCCCAGGGGTATTTTTCTTTATAGGACTTTTAGCTTAATAAATCCCGGGCTGGGCTTGCTAGGCCGTTGCCCTCGGCTGTCTTTCCAGCAGTCATCCGTCTTTCCGGCAGTCATCCGTCTTTCCGGCAGTCATCTGTCTTTCCAGAGTCAGCCCGACTCTCCGGGCAGTCGTTTTATATGAGACGACACCTCTTAGCATTCAATGGATTCACCGTGCGGGTGCCGGGTCCATTGCGTTGCAGGGAGAGGAGCTTCAACAGTGCCTGGGACTTGCGACCCAGGTGTAGGTTTAAGGGGCCCCTTAACTAACGCGCGTTATACGCTCACCTCCACTGTCCAAGTTCCTCTCCCTACCTAACCAAATTTGAAAAGAACCTACTAGGGCTGCCTTCGACGTACGTTCTAAGAATGAATTAATGTTAGTTCTGGACAGGCCCAAGTCTTTTAGTAGGTTTAGTAGGTTATAATATACATAGTATATTTCGTTGTTTTCCTGGAACCTCCGGTTGCCACCCTACATAATTGATTACAACTTATTTATTATCTACATTATATATTCATTTTACCCCAAACTTATGATAAGTCGATAATCAAACTGGTTCTGTACAAATAGTTGGGATTAAATTGAAATGCAAAACAGACGCAAACGAACATATTAAGTGGACCAGGTGTTTGTAAGACAGATTGAATTGAACCAAGTTTACGTTTAACCCAACAAGCTTCACCCAATAGCTTTGTTAATTTAATAGGTATAATATATATACGACATTATTGTTCATTGGAACATTTTAAAGTAAATAAAGTAAGATATCTTCAAATACTTTAATAGAAATTCCGATATTATGTCTTCAGTCTTCATTTATTTCCAGAACTAGAATCAATGAGAATCATTTTTTTTGTAGAAATATGTCAAATGTATTAGGTTCTGGGTAAAAAAAATAAAACACTCGTAGGAATCTAAAATAGATAACATGCTCTTTGGGAATACATTAACCAGTGATGTCTAAATCCTCTTAGAAAGTACATATGGCTCGAAAAAATCACATTGGTACTTGCCAGGATCGAACCCGCGCCCTCGTGCACGAGAGGTTGGTCCTTTAACCACTAGGCCAAAACTGACTTTCATCAACTTTAATCAAACCAACATCCTTGATTGTGGAAGAGGGAGAGGAAAGGGTGGGAAAAGGGAAAGCGCAACCGTCTCTCTCACTCATCGAATGAAATGTGATATCTTTGCCGCTCATCTATGAGAGGGTGGTACTTCCCCAGTCGAGCCAGCTCATGTTCGATCTCAAGTAGCATGACCACCACTAGGCTCTACCATTTAGGAAAGCGTAAATAATTTAAGGGTAAAGTCAATAGATTTTATTATTTTTAAATTCCACATTTTGCTAAATCTTAAACAAAATCAGTGTGAATAGTGAATAGGTTTGTCTGTAAACCTCTGTGTATGTGTAGTCATAAGCCTTGGCATACATGTTTAAATTGTTATGTATTACATAGTTAACAAAAATTTTTATCATCTTAGGATATGAGTAACTAAATATAATCATTGTGAGAAACTAGACATTATAATTTATATTATATGCTGAACTTATCTTCTTCATACTTTTTTCAATAACTGTTAATACTAAAATTTTTATTACTGTTTATCTAACCAGTGAAAACTTTCTTTAATTTAAAAGATAAAAAAGGAGTTGAGATTCAAATCCTCTTCACGAAAGCCTATTTACATACGTCACGGGCAGACGAAAACGTAAGTAATATCAAATATAAAAAAATATCTTATATTTTCCTTCTACATTATGTTTTATAAAAAAAATACAATTTTAAAAGATTTTAATACCTTTTGATCTAGGTTTCCGAAAATTTTTGTTTGTAACTATTGCTAATCTTAATATTCTATTCCTGAAAACGATTGAATTTTTAACATATCTTTTACGTTTACCTTTTCTGACAGTTGTTACTGAAAATATGTATTAAGTTTTATATCAAAATTTTCTATTAAGCAGTAGCTTAATAGAAAATTTTCCAACCTGAACCTAAAAATGTTTAAGCTCTTACATCACAAATACTAAGTAACTTTAAAAGTCTCTATGTCATAAGTAAACATAGTATTTGATTGGAGTATACCATACACATACAGAGCATTCATTCCTACACGTTTTTACGCCAAAACTCAAAAAGACAAAAGAATAATATTTACTTTTGACGGTCTGGTGTCATATTTTATCCGTGAAGGCGTTAAAATTGCGTCTACCCTCATTATGCCGTAATAAAACCTTTTGTTCCCCCGCATTGTGTAGACGTCAATCATGGCTACTTTATTAGCTTTGTGTATTTTTAATTTTATTTTTGTGAAAAAATTGTTCCGAATAGACATTTTATATAATATTAAAATTCTAATGAAAATGATTTCGAATAAAAGTTGTGATTCGATTTAATGTGTTGATGTTTGTTACGAAACAATTTTTTGAATAGAATATAAAATATATGTATATTATTTTAATTTATTATTTCAGTCGTTAAATTTAATTTTATTATGAGATTATTGATTAGATTTATATGATGAATATTTGATTAAAGCGTGTTAATTTTTGATTTCAAAAAATGCGTTTGACAAGATCTGATAGTCAGTAAAATGTAGGTACTACAATCAATCTAGCGTTTATATTTCTGATGAAATTTTCATCATTTTTTTATTGTACCGACCACCAATTAAATTCGGTCTACGACAATTTTTTCCACAATACACTTATTTAAAAAAGCATTGCTTTGCTGCCCTTAAAATCCATAGGTATTACAAAAAGAGTTTTGAAAATAAATATTTTTAATTTAACGATGTTCTAAGACGGAATTTTTGTTATTAAAATATCAAATACACGGAAGGCTGTAGGCTTGTATGAATTTGTTTTTAGGAATATATATAAACTATTATTTTTTACCATACAGTAACAGGGTCTGTATACTGATATATGTATAAACAACGTCACTATGACCTCAAGAAATAAAAATATTTAATTTTATAAATAAAATTAACACAACATTTAAGATAGCGTTGACTGTACCAATATGATATTACTGTTACACAAATTATTATGTATGCATTTAATAAATGCTACATCTTTTCCGTATTCGTTTGATTGTAATAAGATCAGCAAGGCATTATTTCAGGTAAATAACATTTTATTTTTTTATGTTCTTAAGCAGCATAATTATAATGGTTATCTCTTCTTTCTACAATACTTTTAACATTTAGAACACAATTAGAGCGGACACTATCTCTACCAATATTGCCACTAGGTTATACGTATACACACAAAAGAGTTACACGGTATAGGATAACGTACTACGCTCATAATTTGTTTCAAAGTAAATCTCTTTAAATAAAAAGTTCCATCGACCAAGATGTGTAGGATGTTCCATTTGAAATAAGTCAAGAGAATCAAAACTTTCACAATTAAATTGGAAACTATATGTAAGTAGAACATATTTATATAATAAATCTTCTTTCAGACCCCAAAGTTTTACCAAAATAAATTTATGTCACTGTAAGACTGTAAGCTAAGTTTTAAAAATTTCAATCTGGAGGGACAAAAAAATACTAGAATAGACAAATAATAAATGGAGGATGAGCTCATTATTGAAATCAATCAATCCATGACAATTTAAACTCAGTAAAGGATACGAATCGCTGTGTCTCACCTTACCTAGTTCATAACGGGAAGGATAGGAAACTCGATAAAATATATTAGTGGATCCCGTAGGTCGTTACATAGTGAACGTGGGGAACATAATTCAAACATCAGGAAATTATTTGAAAATAAAATGCCACCAATAGAGACAGAGAAAAATGAAACAGCAAAGCTTTATATAGTGCCAAACGACAACTGAGCGCAGCATTCCGCTTTTTTCAATGGGATGTCTGGAATGTTTTATTTAATTTCCCAACAACAGTCCAAGAGACCAGTCATTTTAAACATTGAAAGGGTGATGAACTATTTAGATAATATCTTCGCTGGAAAAGCTGAAGCAACGGCCCGCTTTCGATGACTAAGTGAAAGCGATGAATATCTAGTGGATAGTCTACAAATCAGTCGGGAACGAATACGCCTACATTCTTGTCCACCTAAACTCAAAAATCTGCACTAAAAGTGAGATGTTTCATCTATACAGGGTCACTATTTGTAAGAACTTCATACTTTCAGTAATGTGGAGCACGAGCACTTTGCTAAAGCTCTACCCTAAACGTAACTGTACTGGAAATAAATAAATTTATGCATGTTATTCCGGCAATGTTCTAAAGTCGCAAGACAGCATTTTGCCTCATGTCCTGATGCTCTATCCCTTCTATCCAAAGCCGAGATAGATTCTCCTAGTCCCAGCAACGTACTCAATCATTCATCAAAGCCACTAATCTTGATTTTATTTATTCGATATATTTACAAATGTAGTATTTCGTTATATTCGATATAATTTTTATATCTGTGTATGTATGCCAGTTTTATTATACAAAACTAAGTATACACAGAAAACGGTACTAAACTTCCTTTAAAAACCATGACAATAAGATAATATTTAGAAAAAAAAAGTTGTCTTTTTCTTAAAATGAAGTTGTAATTATGAAACTCTCGAAGAATTTTTGGTTTTGTTCTTATAAAGAAAGGAAAGAAATAATTTGAATTTTCTTCTCAGCGGCAAAAGATATACTTTTTATACAAAATAGTTTTTTTTTAAGCCAAATAGGAAATTATTTGTGTTCTCTGATTATGAATGTAGATCTGACGTGTTTCTTCAATCTCTGAGTACGTTATAGTTCAAATTAACATCTACTAGTAGTATGCAGCATAGTTTTCCAAGTAAAACATATTTTTTTATTTGTATATAAACATACATATGTATTATATAAAAACTTTGTATACAATTAATTAACTTATAAAAACATAGGAAGTAGTATTTATAAGGAAATTCTCAGAGGAAAAATTTGAGATTGATTTATTTATTGAATACATAATATTGTTGAATAAAGTCATTTCAATAAAATTAAATTTATTGAATGAATACTATTTTCTGACTAATTATTATGATAGTTGATAAATTATTAAGTTATCATGTTGTAATTTTGAAGATACCCATATATCACAAATTATATAATATATTTTCTGTATATATCCAAGAAAATCCGTTAAGTAGTTTTAAAGATTAGCGTGTAAAAAAATAAAAGTCTTTTGATTGAGCAACGTTACAGTTTTTTTATTTTATTTTTTGGAATAAGAATCATGAATACATCAATCAATAAAAGATTTTATTTATTTATCTCTAACATGAGACAACAGTTTTAATTTCGACAACAAAGTGTAAAGAAAATAAAACATCAGTTTTAAGACTTTTTTACTTATTAAAAGTTATAATTACTAAACTATGTTTCTATCAATGAGAAATGTAATGAGAATTCAATGAGATTTTTTTTACATTCTCAATAATTAATTGTCATTAGTCATTGTCATAACATTAACCTACTTTAATATTCTCTTCTTTTCACATTTTTTTAGTAAAAAAATAGCTTTCAGGTAAATTGTATTGTATCTTTATTATTACCAGTAATGTGTTTTTAGACCAGATTGAGGGAAAAAAAGACAGAAGGATAAAAAGATAAACTTATTGTTAATTGTATGCCATAAAATATAAAATGTTTTTCGTTATCTATTAATATATAATATCCGCTTCCCATGTTAATTTCATTAAAATCATTACCGTGTTGACAATTTTTTTTTACTATTGAAGGCTTCTTTTTCAAACCGATAAAGTGTAATTCGTTTGCAATATTTTGGAGTGAACGATTATTGACGGCAAAGTGGTTGGGAGTGGCGTGGCTATGTTTTGTTCCAGAAAGTCATCAGGACTGAAAACTTTAGAATCCTTTATGATGTTCCTAAAAAATACGCAAAATGTAAAAACTACAATCTCAAGAGGGTTGATTTCCCAAAGAGGGTTGATGTCAGGCAGGCGGCCGGTCATAAAACAAATTAGCAAAAACTATTCACAACATGTAAGGCAGACCCTGGCTAAAGCTGGGAAATTACCAGATAGAAGTAGAATCTCAAGAGAAAACTCACCATTTTTTACCATTTATAATACATTAAAACACATACCATAATTCCTGTGATATAACACTTCGTATATGCGGTTCTGGTAAAGTGGAAAACCTAGATGCCATGGTCATGCTATAAGCCCCTCTACTCGGAAACACGAGCCAATCGTTAATCGTACAAGGTGGTAACATTATAACAGTGTTGTCAAGAATGCGATCAATGGGATGGCAAGTTGGACCCCATAATACAGTAGGTTTTAATTCTTCCCCTTCCAACTGTGCCTAAAGGAAATTGAATTATAAACTTGCTTATTAACATTTAAATTTAAAGTTTATTTTATGTTTTCTATTTTCTACTATTTGCATAATTTAAAAAAGTATATTCATATAAATTAAAACTGAAAACAATTAGATAAAGAAAAATATTTTGCTGTTTACATTTATAACTTTTTCGTTACATGAAAAAATATTTATCTATTGTTATATTATAGTAAATAAATAAGTTTTTTTTTAATAATAAGAATAGGATAATACTTGGCTGTTATGACAATTGATGGTAAGTATATATACAAATATATTAAAATATTAATCTACATTCTCAGTAAAAGCCCTTTTATTGTTCCTTTTAAGACCTTAAAATTGTTAGTACGAAAAAACACAGAGTCAGTATTGTCTAACCGAGACAAAATAGGGGTAAAATATTGATTTGGACACACCTGAAACCGTTGGACAGTGTGCCATGGTTCATTGTATCTCAAACAACCAAACACTCCGTCGTTTAAATACAACATATTAATAGAAGAGTCACCAACTTGTAGCTAAAAATAAGAAAGATTTATATAAGGTAATCTTACCTATATATAAGGAGTTTTTATAAGTAAATACAAAATTTTCATTACCGTTCGCACTGTGTTAATATTGCAATATAAAGTAAATGAGTTATCGCACAAATAGCGTCCGGGCTCAGAGATCACTTGGATATCTGGATCCGGGAATAGTTCTTCTATAGCATCGTTTACTAGTTTGGATACCTTAAAATATTTATTTATTACCATTTATATTCGCAAATTAAAAAATATATATTTGGTTTAGGCTTATCATCAATATAACATGTAATTCGCTAGTGATTCTTTTATTATTTTTATTTTATGTTTTCTTCTAACAATAAGAAGATATTGACGTTTATCAATCATAAAAATCTGAATAGTTAAACAATTTAACCGAGTATCATAAATAGGTAAATTTGTTCAGACAACGATAGACACAAATGCTATCAGATACCTTGTCAATGCTATTAGTTCTATCACTCAAGAATCCGCCTCCTATATCAACAATTTTCATTTGTCGTCCCGCCTTAGCTTCATGCTCGAACAATTTTTTAACTTGTTGAAGTCCTAAGACATAGCTGTCCGGTGATGAACAACCACTTCCTACGTGGAATGCTACCCCAACCACCTATAGTAAAAATTATATTCTATGTACATGATCTTTCATATATTATAAATTAAAAATTCAAACAGTTTTTATACTTTAAGATTGAGTAATGCAGCTTCTTCTAGTAAATCAGTGGCCTCTGTTTCAAAATCACAACCGAACTTCTTTCCTAAATCGTAAACGCTGTCGCTATGAACTCTAATCCGTAGTAACAATCTGCAAAACCAATAAGTTTAGCCAACTAAAACACTTATGATTACACAATTGCATTAAATGGATAGCATAAGACACCTTTAAGTATTGTAAGTACAAATAAAATATATTATTTATAAATAGTAACAGTATAAAGTAATAAAAAGACGAATTAATTTATTATAGGACTATTATAAAAGATGAGAATTTATTACTTTGCTTCTGGCCAAAATTGTTTTATTTTGTTTAGTTCGCACATATTGTCAAAAGTGGTGTGTTTAATCCCGCACTGCTTTGCATATAACATCCACTCTTGAGATTTTGTTGGCATTGCAAAAATTATACTCCTGTAGAAAAAATCACGTTTATTACCTAACTCAGTAGAAACTATTCATTGATCATATTTTGTTACATTATTTATAGTATTTATATATGAAGCTATATTTTTTTATAGTTGATTAAATAATTTGAACTTATATAAGAACGTCATCATATTTAAAATGTACATACAGTGGCGACACTTTGAGTTTCAACACTTTATGTATTTCACCCGGTGAAGCACAATCAAAGCCAAGGCCGAGTGAAGCTGCTAGTTTTAACATAAAGTCGCTATCATTCGATTTGACCGCTGAAAAAATATCGAGAATAAATTTGTACTGTATAATAAGATTTTGTATTTAAAAAATAAACATAACTATTATAAATAAACTACCATAAAATATTTTTATCCTTGGCATCATTTTTTTAAAATATTCTATGCGCTGGTAAGCCTTGTCCATGTCAAATATATAAAAAGGATTCTTTTGAAGTCCACTTTCTATCATAGCTCGGGCTACATCCTCAGCAGTATTGTTATCCAATACTAATGCCTTTGAAACTCTCTTTTCGATAACCATTTTCGTGGTAAAACTTAAAATGAAATAGAATTTTTAATAAGAATGAAATATATCTTATTCATAACTCTTTTTTTTCACAATTCACAATCAGTCCCTTTTTACTGCTTCCCAAGAATATTTGTAAGTTAGCGTTGCTTCATGTATATTGGAGCACTAAGAATAACAGGGCTGGGATATGAAATAACGAATATTTAAATAAAACATTGGTTAACGCTATGACACTTTTTTTACCTTGTTATACGTTAATTAAGTAGGGACAGCTTGTGAACAAGGCCAATTCAACTTGGAAGGAAAGTGATAGCATAAACCTCGTTTTTAAATATTATAATTAAATTATAATTAAATGAAACGCGAAAGTCCCAAAACTGGAAGAATTATTGAAGTTGATATTTATTTTAAGATTCATTCTTCCTTCAGATCTTCTCCGAAAGGGTCGAGTAAGCATAAACATAAGCTGGAGTCTGCTTATTCTTTAATTCTTTAAATATAATGAAAAATTTGGTAAAGTTATGGGTAGCAATACTAATATAATAAATAAAAGTTTATAAATATAAATCTAACGCTTATTCTCACCTCAGGGCCTTTATGTGAGTGTTGATAATTTCCAAATATATTGGACCACACAGACGCAACAAGGCCTATGTTAACAAACTGTACTATCGAGTTAAAAACTCGTGAAATATTAATTCAAAAAAGTAACAATAAATATATCTAAGCCGACTGACCAAAGCAACGATGACTTTTCATTGAATTGAATAGCTGAGAGTTTTGCTTTATAAGACGATGACTCCGCACTTGTAATGAGATTGTTAAGGGAAATAATGTTTTCATATTATTACGTGATTTTAAAAGTATGACCAAATATTTTGGAAAATAGAAATGTTTAAGCATAATGCTTTTTAATAATTAGGAAAGAAAAAAAGGGTATAGACTTATTGTATTTTTTAAAATATTTACATTATTAAAAGCGCCAAGGTAACGTGCTTATTGAGTATTAACTTTCATCTTGGACCAAATGTGTAACAAAAAAATGGTGTGTGATGGATTGTATCCTAAAAATGTTTGCTTTCGAAATGATTTGGTTTTGTAACTTGACTTAAATATTCTGACTCTTGGCCAAATTTTGTTCTCACTTAGAATCGAATCCAAAATTATCTTGCATAACGACCTAACATGTCTTTTAAATTACGTATTTTTAAGTAAATAACCAGATATTTTTAAGATATGATAGCTAAATTGGCGAAACAATTGCAACGCGATATTCGGGGTTAGCACGTTTTTTTTTCACTACCTCTAATCAAGGTTAAAGTTATGTATCCCGACTAAATGCTAACTTCTCCAGTATTTTTAACAAATTTTCTTTTAAAACCATGAGTATTTTTAGCCATTATTGAAAATCATGATTCAAAATTTAATATACATTGAGAGCTTTATCATTAAAATATCTCTATTATGTAGTAATGAGTACATTTTTGCAACAAAGTTAAACAAAAATTGCTTGTTATACTAGTAAAAAGTATAAACGGATATGAGCATCTGACTGGTATCCTTGTTAAGTAATGTGAGTAATGTCGAGAGCACTTCCCTGATTATCTTAAGAGACTTTTAATTAAAAATTAATCTTTATGACATTCGTATGAAGTTCAATTCTTAGTTGATGAGAATATATATACTTTTTGATATACATACATATTCTCATCAACTTGTTACTAAAATTAAGGTAAGACTTTCAAATGTTCGATATTATTACAAATTACTACAAAAATGAGATTAAAACATAGTTAAATTGAAATTGAAAACTCAGTTTATGTATGAAAAATCCAGCTATTTAGGTGAAAGAGATAAAAAATTTGCATACATTTGTTAAATGTCACAATATAAACCGCTGAGCCCTAGTATAGTTAAAGGATAGCGGCAGAAAGTCATATCAAACATGAAGATGAAATCGCCTGACGATGTGTTTTCTTATGAACTATTACTTTTTCTTCACTCTTACTGTTTTCCAATGGTAAATATGAAATTAGAAGCTCGATAACAGTATATGTACATATCGGATTTATTACACATTTCGTTGATTTTAAAGAGAGAGGGACGCCAGCTTCGCTGACGTTACAAATGTCGCTTCTTCTAGAACGGTCCATGATATTTTAAAATGAAACTGCAATTGATCTTAATGCTCTTGTATTTCTCAAAGATTCTTCATAATAACATGCTTCTATGATACACGCTCACTGAACTCTGAATTACCAATGCTGAATTCTCAATTCTGGGGTCCGCCGTCGTGAGTCCAGACGTCATATTTTTGATTCAAACATAATTCTATTCTCTTTTGATTTCGTTTTACTTTTAACAATAATCATAAATACTAATGAGGTTTAATAAAAATTGATGACAGCCTCTAATTATTTTCAAGTCGCATCCGTTATTAAAGCTGGTAGCGCCGATACGGCCATTCTGACAGGCGGTGCGTGCTCTGCACCTGCCTGGTTATGTGTTCTTTCTTGGTTGGTTTTCGTTATGTGCTTGGACCAGTCGCGCGTCTCGTAAAGTAGATGGGACAGGATCAAGAATTGATGCTTCATCTTCCGAAGTCATGCCGATACGGTCATACTGATGTTTGCTCTGTGATAAAAGATAAATGCTTTTGTAGTCTAGGTACTTCCACAGTAACCCTAGATAACTTTATATTGTTACAATTATGAATATCAAAATTTTTATTTGATCGTATGGGTAACGTTGTTTACTACAACACAACTTTGAGATGGTCATAATATCACGTCCAATTATCTAAGCTACATGGCTTTGGGGGCATCACACGAACATTCATAACATATTTGTCATAGGACGTCTCCGCCCGCCTACAACATTTTGTTTTTATTTATTTGTCGTAAGACGTCTCCACCCGTCTACAACAATTTTATTTTATTAACCATTTTATTATTATTATTATTTTGTCATGGTTCGGATCCGCCATCAAAGGCATCTTTTATAGTAATAATAATAATTTAATAATTTTATAGTAATATATCTCAAAGTAAGTGTTTCAAAATCACACTTCTATCTACGAAATATGTAATGCGTTTGAAATGAAGTAAATTGAACAAAATGAAATACGCTCACCGGATAACTATTAGGTAGTAGTATTATATATTAGTAGTTCCTCGGTTTCTATTCACTTTTTCTGTGATATTTTTTATATAAAATCTCCATTCTGGAATTATTTAAATTTTAGCTCGAAATCTCTTAAATCCAACTTTATATATTCTTTCCGCCTCGACCATCCTGTTTTAAATGTGTTGCTTCGATATCCACGGACGGATTGTCAAAATGTAATCTAAACTGTTAAAGCCGGATTGAATTGTTCGTATGTTCATAATATCGTCAAGGATACTAAATTTGTCAGATGTACGCTGATGCCTGTAATTACATAATACTATTTATAGGAATAATAGAGCCCGGCCTCAATCCTCGCAAATAGTTGACGATTTGTTTTCTATTCCCGGATATGTTATTTGCCATTGATTCTTGTATAACGCACCCCTGAAATTATGCATTTTATTAAGATTAAATTTACCAGTTGATATTAAATTTAAATTCGGCGTGATATCCTTTTTCCGTCGACAACATGATTCAAACGTTTGACCACGGTTAGCAGAAATGGAACAAAACTTAGCTGTACTCGCAATAGGTGTATTTGATTAGAAATTTGGAGTCAATTATGCTATCATTTGAATTATAACATCGTTTTTTAGTGGCACTGCTGTGTGTGTCGACCGACATGTTAATATTACTGTGAAGGGTATGTCTACAGTCGATTATAAATAAAGCCGTGGCGCCGGCTGTTTGATATCAAAATCATGTAACTTCTTATAGATTGAGTGACTTCATATTTACTCATAGTTTCCCAAGGCCGCTCTTCGTCATCTCATGGTATTCTCAAGGATACAGCAAGGATCTGTGGTTAGCTCAAGGGTAATACGTGAGTAGCTCAGAGGTACGCTCTCCACATCTGTGGCGTAGACTTGTCTTCTCACGGTTCCACAAGGCATCCCTACGTAATCTCATGGTTCTCTTTCGGATACATCAAGGACCCGTGGTTAGCTCAAGGGTAACTCGTGATTAGCTCAGAGGTCACGCTCTCCAGATCTATGGTGTAATACTTGTCTCTTCACGGCTCCACAAGGCTTCCCTACAGAATCTCATGGTTCTCTTGAGAATACACCATGGACACGAGATTAGCTCACGGAAATTCCCTAAACACTAAAGGCAACATAGAGCTCTCATTATTTCCGAAAAAGAAGAGCGCCTCTTATATCGTAAGTTTTAAAGATATCACTATTGAAATAGTTTGCCTCTAGTTTCGTGATACTAAAATTAATTTCGTTATCTATTTCTTGTTTAGCCTTCAACCAATGGTCTGCTATCGCGGCGAAAAGAAAGCATTTTTGATTCGAAATAAGTGGCAAAGGATAACTATCAGACACCGTATTCCTATTTAATTCTCTCTATGACATTATTCAAATGATTTTTCAGTTCCAATCTTGTTTGTTTTAAAAATGAGACATTATTTTTAATCTCTATAGAATACTCTAATGTAAGCAGATCCTGTCTAATTAAATTAAAGTAAGTAATAAACTGAATCACTCTTAAATTGTTTAAAGAATTTAGATATTACATTTAATGCGAGCGTTACTTCACCTTCTAATGCAATTGTATTATTATATTGCGATTTACTTAGAAATCTTATCTTTCAAAAAAAAATTTTTATTTTTATTTTATTAAAGAACATTCGGCACCCGAGTCGAAACAACATGAAAACCTCTCACCGGTTTCACTCCAGAGCTGAACCATATCTGGATTGAACAGATATTCACGCATCGTTCGGTCCATGCTTAATTGGGCCTTGAATTCAACACTGGGGCAGCGCAGCGCGAAGTAGACTCATTAACCATACTTGAAGCAACTAGGAGTAATCATTTACTTCGGCGCGCCAGGTTCTT